AGGTGAGTACCGCACAGTGGCGCTAAAGCCCCAGTGAGAGGTGAGTACCGCACAGTGGCGCTAAAGCCCCAGTGAGAGGTGAGTACCGCACAGTGGCGCTAAAGCCCCAGTGAGAGGTGAGTACCGCACAGTGGCGCTAAAGCCCCAGTGAGAGGTGAGTACCGCACAGTGGCGCTAAAGCCCCAGTGAGAGGTGAGTACCGCACAGTGGCGCTAAAGCCCCAGTGAGAGGTGAGTACCGCACAGTGGCGCTAAAGTGTTTTGCTCCGGAGTACTGCGGGCGAAGACAATGCTCAAAAGTGGAAGTGTCTCAGTTGCTCAAGATGCATTGTGATTGAGCCAGTTCAAAACACATGCTCTTGAAATAAGGACTTCCTACTCCTGCTCATTCTGGGAAAATGGAATTAGAAAACCCCTTTTAGCAGGTCCAATTGCATTGAAAACAATGTGTCGGTCCTGTCCTTATTCATGTCAGACGGACACAGAACTCTGCGAGGCATGAACAACGGCCATTGGTAATGCCAGGAAAGTCACTAGTCCCCCAAACACGTGAGTCTGGTTATGATTCGCTTCGAGCATCTTAACGGTCGGTTCAACTAGTGAGAAACTGTGTTGTATGGGACTTTCTAGCCGCTGTGACTCTTTCCCGCAAACTGATGTCTGCATGCGCAAACAGTCCAGGCGCAAGCCCAAAAAGGGCGATCTACAAAACCAGGCATCGCGGGAGGTGGCTGATGAGCCCGCACGTCCGGGCATCGCGGGAGATGGCTGATGAGCCCGCACGTCCGGGTGCGGTACCAGTGCCGCGATGTATTGGCGCATACGGCCCAGACGTTCACTCAGACAGAGTCCCGGCGTGGTGAGCCATCCGCGGCGTAACTGGGCCGCAGTCGCGTTCCCGTATACACATGTCTGGTCCAGCCCCCTGTCTCACAAAGACCGGAGATGGGTCCCAGGACGTCCGGGTCTCACATTACACAAGCACGAATACCATAAGGTTTGGGGGGACGTGAAACATGCTAAGTCAGTCACACTGATCATGTTTACCAAGCATGCGTGCACGCATGTGTGCGCACGCGATAAACGCCGCTGGTGAGCTACCTATATCCCCTGACTTCTGATCAAAAGCACTGCTGGGCGCAAAATATCCATGGTAGTCCGCGCCATAAAAGCTCAACATCATCATTACCACAGCACTGATGCGCTACAGAGGCGTCCCATTCCGGGGAGGGCCATGAGACAGATGCGCCCGTGGCCAGTGCCGGCGGGACCGCGGCTGGTCTGCCGGATGTGTACCCAGCGACGCGCTCGGCGCCGGCGACGCCGCACACTCACCGGGCCTCCCGTCCCCCAGACCGCGGCAGTCGGGCCGTCGACACCACTCCAGCCAGCCGACGCTCGACGGTCGGCCGCGACCGTGGTAGCCGGCGGCGAGCGGCGCGCCTACTGTTGGCGCAGGCGCACTGGGCTCTGGCCGCCGATCGTCCGCCGGCCGCCGCAAAAGCGGCGCCCGGCGGCCGGATCTTGCAGCCAGCGCGCGCGCCGCGTACATGCATAGCGCGCCCTGATAGTTCGTCGGCTTGCAAGTGCAGCTGGCTGCAACTCTGAGTGATTCATGCTCAGAGGCGAGAACATAGCAAGAGACGAGATCGGGCCGCGTCTGGCGCCGCTTGGTGTGCAGCGGTGGTGCGGAAGAGCGCAGACGTCTCCTCCAGGGACACTCGGCGTGCACGGGGAATCGGTGCATTGTTCCGTACGTACTGGTGATAGCCGCCAGTGTTCTACGCGATCCACCGATGAATGAAAGCTGTCCTTTATTGCTTGTCACGGCCGTTTATTGCCAGCGGCGAACAAACGCCACGAAAATGACCATTAGCTGGAATCTTAATCGCAGATGCTTAATGGCAAACTGAATGGAAACTTTCGTCAGTGATGGCAATGTAAGCATGTAGTGTTGATAATAGTGATATGTTATTGTGTACGCGAAATATGTCAGCATAGCGTTGAGCTATCAGCATTCGATGCATCAGTGTAGTGTTGACCTGGACACTGAGTGGCCACGAGTGAAATGTCTGACGTCGGGTGTGTCGGCTGTGGCAGCAGTTGCACCAACTTTCATCACGGTTTGGAGGATCATTCTACATTTGAGGATATTGAGGCAAACATCCGTCATGATGAAATAAGCTCACCTATAACATTTGATGTACTTCCACAAATACTGTTCCAGACAACGAAATTTATTTTGTAGCTATGCTCCTCAATACTTCATCGTTTTATCATGTCATGGAATGTTTGAATGACGTTGAGGTGCCGCTAAACTAGCCGAAATTGCGAAATGTAGAGCGAAATTGCCACCCTTTCACTCACATGCTGTACTTCAAACTCGCCGAGAGATGGCAGTGACGGTGCTGAACGTGTTCACTGCACCAAATCACGTGCTTGTATTTTGGTCCTTCATCGTGATGTTGTTGCATATCTGTCCGTATGTATAAGATGTTTATTTGCATTTCCGTACTCGGTTATGGCGTTATTCTACAGCTACTCGATTACAAGTCCTATTTCCGTAATAATTAGCAAGTGAAGAAACAATGTTCAACATGTCATCTTATGTAGCACAAAACGAGATGTGTGAATGAAGCTTGCACAGATTGCTCAACAGTGATGGCGAGCCAATTCACGTCTACTATATTCGTGCGCACGGACGCCAGATCTGAACGGCTCAAAGACATTATGGCTGGCCTGGGACACCACCCGACCTATAGGGTGGCAGAATTTGAGGGGCATCGTTATGGCCCCATGCATGCCCAACTGATCTTGAAGTAGTCTGCACATCTTCGCGGACGTGTGATTTAGAAACCTGAGGGTTTCAGGTCTTAAGAAGGATGTTCCTCACTTCAGGATATTGAAGCAAGCATAAGATTAGATGAAATGAGCTCACCGACAGCTATTGGTCTACTTTTAAGTGGAAATGGCTGCTTTAGGCAACACAGTTTCTTCGTTTAGTAAATATGCTCCTAAATGCGCAATTGTTTGGTTATGCCATCGTGCCTTCCACAACATGGAGAGCCAATTGACGACAGCCATATTTGGAAATCGTGCTCACGAATGCCAAATATGAGCGACCCGACATATATATTTTTCTTTGCCGTGACCTACGCATGGCCAATGGAACGGAAGGAATTTAAACGACGTTATTATGGCGTCATGGAAGCCTGGGCGACCTTGAAAGTCTCCTCGAAATAGTCTGCACATCTTCACGGGTGTGTAGCTCAGAAACTAGAAGAGTGCAAGTACTGAGGATGACAGGACTCTGAACTACACCAAATGATCTTCAAGAAGGCTATTTCAGTTCAAAACCCCGTAGAAATGTGGAACACTCCATTTACGGGCCGGGCCAGCTTACAGAATGATCTTCAAAATTGCTAGTTCAGTTGAAAACCCCATGCTGATGTGGGACAGTCTTACATGTATCACATGGTTCATATTTTATATTAGTATCACATTATATTAGTATCACATCATATTAGTATCACATGGTTCATAGTGACGCTCTGTCAAAATTCAACCATTGTGGTTCTCGGTAACAGGCCCCTATCACCCACTGGGCCAATCTCGAACGTTATTTTATGCGCGCCAGCTGAGGTGCCACGGCGGTTGACGGCGGCGATCACGACTGCTGGGTACGAGCGTTGTGCTGTTGCAAGGCCTTGGCAATGTAATTTGGACTAGGAAATAATTTAAAGAATTGATACTCCTATTATGTCTTGACCGTGGTGCGATGGCACTACCCAACGCTATTTTTGAGCGAAATTGGTCCTGAGGCTTAACTTAAGGATGTTTTTAAAGTACCCCCAAAGGGGACACTCTCTTTGAAATGTTAACATTGCGTCATTGGGAGATAAACTTTCCGGCTGCCGCGCCACGCTAACTTTTCTCAGCACTCTGCTCCCGTGGGAGTTGTTGGTTGCCACGGTCATTAATAGGGAAGGCTCTTTTCCGGAAGATGGAAAGGCCTGGGCTGTTTTGAACGGCTCCAAAACGTTAGGTAGAACGTGAGTTCCACAACATGAGTTGTTTGGAAGTAAGCTTCGAAGGAACATAACACGAGATTCGGAACTGGTGACCGCGTTCAAAAATGACGAGCAGTTGTCGCGGCGGTCGCTCGCACTTGCCGCTGTTACAGCATGAAGAATGGATGCTAAACGGACAGAGGTCTAGACGAGCTTTGGATGGATAAAACACCGCACATTGTCGTCAAATTAGTTGACACAGATTAGTGAACACACTTTTATATAACGAGAACTCTCCTCTTGGCTAGCGTTTCCTGGATGCAATAGCTAGTGGTTAACGAATTGATACTAAATTTGAAACACCTTTGAACGCCCTCTAGGCGTTTGCTTTGAAACGCCCACAACGAACCGCGGGCAGCGCCCGGATAGCAGACGTGCAAGCTAGAATGTATAATCCGGGTCACGCCACGTGTTAGTGATGTTGAAAGTCACTGACCGGTTTGACTGGCAAGTCCCGAACGCTCTGGACAAAACCGCCAGTGGACCGTTCTCCCAGCGAAACCTCGGAGTAACAGGAAAGATAGGGTTTTGGACACCGTAAGCGCTCCGCCCGGGTGTGTTTGCAAATAATGCCAATCATACAACAAAATTTATTCACGTAACACGGTTATGGTTGGCTTCTACTCATAGCGATAAAAAGTCCGTTCCTTTCACACTTCTTGTTCAATAAGGAGCCCAACGGATCTGATTTTTTGAAACGTTGCACTTCACACGGCGTAACTAGGGGGAGACAGAAGGGCTGGAGCATAGCTCTCACGAAGTCGTCATTATTGAGCCACGAAACGTTGACAGTGGTGGTGTTTTCGGCGCCAACGGGGCCACGCTCCTGCGCGCAGCCAGGCAAGCGGGAACCGCTTGCGAAAGCTAATTACAAGATAATGACGACACGTCCAAGCGTCTTCTTCTCCCCAGGACTTGTCACACTCACGTCTCGCGAAACGATGTGGTTTATTGAACCTTCAACCAAAGCTACACTTTCTAAAAACTACTACAGGGTCGAGTCCCGACTCGGCACTCGACTCAAACATGATAATGTCACGTGGAAGCTAAGATTACGGTATGTACACCTCGGCCATATTGACACGCCCACACCACAGCGGTTACATAGATACGGCGCAGGCCCTTGATGAGTCTTCGCAGTTCCAGCGAGCACCGTCCTCCTCGCTGCCTCACCCAATCGGCTCCGTCCGTTTGCACGTGGCGCGGACTCGGGCCGTCCGGCCGGGCGGAGTAGAGTCACGCTTACCCACACAGCCGGCTGGGTCACGCCTCCACACAGCCGGCCGGGTCACGCCTCTCCACAGCCGACCGGGTCACGCCTCTCCACAGCCGACCGGGTCACGCCTCTCCACAGCCGACCGGGTCACGCCTCCACAGAGCCGGCCGGGTCACGCCTCCACAGAGCCGGCCGGGTCACGCCTCTACACTGCCGAGTGTCACGTCTGCCCACGGCCGGCCGGGTCACGCCTCCGCACAACCGGTGAGTCACGTCTGCCCATAGCCGGCCGGGTCACGCTTGCCCACAGCCGGCCGGGTCACGCCTCTCCACAGCCGGTCGGGTCACGCCTCCACAGCCCAGTGAGTCACGCCCGCCCAGAGCAGGCCGGCTCACGCCTCTCCACATTTGGCTGGGTCACGCCTCTCCACAGTTGGCTGGGTCACGCCTCTCCACAGCTGCGGACCCCGTCGTCCGTCTGCAGTGGCCCGGTCCTGCCGGTCCCGGCCGCCTCAGTCGCTGCGGTGGCTGATGCGCGAGCTGTCGGCGTGCCATTTGGGGCTGCGCGGATCCGTGAGCGGCACGTCCGACGGCTGCACGTGCACCGGACGGAAGCGGCGCACCGGCTGCGCGTGGTGGACGGCTTCGCGCCGGGCGCGCGCCACCTCCTCCTCCTCGGCTAGCTGCTGCTGCCGCTGCCTCTGCCGTGCGGCCAACACAACGCCCCCGTCAGCGACGGCGTCGGCTGCCCCGGAAGCACACGGCGTAGGACACACGCGGACTTCTCAGCCAGAGCAGGTCTTACGGAAAGATCTTGTGAATTAAAAACGAGCTGCACCACACACGAGGCAGGTGGGGTGGAGTCAAAAACACTTCCGCGAGTGGCCCCATCTAACGGGCGTGGTGTGAAGCAAGCTATGGAAGTAAGTTCAGTAAGCTAAGTTCGTCCGCGGCAGCCGTGAAAGGGCCTGCAGTTTCTTTTTTGGTGTGGACGGTCCGCTGGTGGAAGTAATGCTACATATCATTCTCGCCTGTCCAAGTTTTGACATTAAGAGCGTTGTCCATAGTCGCTTTAATAGTGGAAATGTGTGTTAGGATGTGGTGCCGGAGTGGTTTGGTCTGCAGCCCTTCTGCGCCAGCAACTATGGCCCGGCGCCGTCTAACATATCCAGGCGCGTTTCCCCACCTCGGCATGTGTGATAGCCGCGCCGTCTCTTCCCCGATCACCTATCTGCCATCCGTTCCTCCGCTGACACCATCCCCCGACCGCCTGCCTCCGGCTCACCTCCTCCAGGGCGGCCTGCAGCTCGGCCTCACGCTGCTTCTGGCGCTCCTCGAAGCTTTGTCGGCGCGTCGAGCGGCGCTCGGTGTGCAGCTGCGGCGGGCGTGGCGCCGTCGGACCGCGCGCCGCCGACCGCGGCCGGAACGGCTCGCGGCTGGTGACCGTACACGGTTGGGCGCGGAACTCGTGCGCCGTGCGCAGCTGCGCCGCCTCCTCCTCCAGCTGGCGGCGCGGCGCGAGAGCCGGCGTTAGATGGCCGCCGTCGGACACGTACGCGTCCCACAGGGCAGATAGAGGCCGAGACAAGACCGATACAAACACGACACGTCATCTGGAGACAGGCGACGGACGGACGGACGGACGGAGGCAGCCGCGTCGGCGCAACATGCCCTGTCACGTTTCAGCTTCCCTGTTCACATCCGTTACATGTGCAGATACCCCGCCAGTTCTCAGCCAGCGAGACGCATCACTTCACTCCCGCACACAACGAGTTCAATGGACTTACCTGTTGATGGTACGCACTAGGTAAATTGCGCGAACATTAAGACAAAAATATTTGCCAGAAATCTGATCGAAGGCTTGCTGGAATGCTTTTGGTTCGAATGCTCGCTGTCGCTAAGCGTCGTTTGTAGTGATTGTCCTGACCCCACCGCGCCAGTACACCAGTTCTAGTTCCAGTTCAGTGGGCTATACTGAATACCGACTTTTGCGGAACGGCTTGAGCGTGGAACGAAACGCCAAGACACGGGCATTCACCCTGTTCATTAACAGGAAAAGCCTGGGTTCGTTATTGACGTTGGAGAACGCAATAACCGTCGGTCGCACAACTTCATAAACCACATTTACCCGAAATGGCGAGCGATGACATTCAAGTTCAGTGCCAGCGCCCTTCTCTCGTTTCAGAGACATTAACGAGACAATACTGGCAATATCCTCGTTGGACGATCTCATCACAGCCAGCCGTGACCGCCTGCCGACAGAGAGGGGGTGACGACAGCACACCGCCACACGGGGACGCGCGGCCCCGGCCACGCACCTTCTTCTGGCGACGGGCGGCGGCGGCGGCCGTCAGTTGCTCGCCGGGCAGCTGGAACGGCTGCGGCAGGGTGGCGGCCGCCGCGCGCCGCTCGGGCACGCCATGCGGCGACGGCGGCGGCAGCAGCTGGGCGCGGAACTCGCGCTGGCGGCGCTCCTCCTCCAGCACCTGCGCAGCAGCGCAGCCAGACGCGTCAGAACGACGGCCGACCGGGACGGCAGCCTGTCATCACACCCTTCTGCGTGACCGACTGTGCGGCCACGGCGGCAAGCCAACGACGAAGCGCAAATAAGCTAAGGGGCCGACGCGCCCCCAATCCACATAGATTGTAAAACAGCCACTTCAACGTGCGTGTCAAGCGGCAGAACACAACCGCGACACGCCACCTTTGATGAAGCTCACAAAATAGCCTGGTTGTCAAGCTGGCGTCGTTCGCCACGAGCTCAGCCGCCGAGGCAGACTGCGTCAACCGACCCACCTGCTGTATTTTGCGCTCCTTCTCCTGCTGTCGCTGTTTGTCGCGAGCCTCGAAGCTGAAGGGCGTCGGCTGCGTGGACTTGTGCTCCACTTTCGGGATGAACGGCACGCCCGAGGCCAGGATGGGGTTGGCGCGGATCACACCATCGGACTGCTTCGCCTCCTGAGGGGCAGATGGGAGATGATGCAGCTCAGCTCTGACACATGGCTGACACCGGCGCTGCGCCCGGTTGGCTCGTTAGGACGGTGTGAGCAGTGACACCCATGAGCGGCAACGACACGGCATCCATAGCCAGTTCTGCAGCTGGGCTCGGTTCACAACGCGGAGCAGGCGGTATTGATTAGAAACAGCAGCGACAAAGGACCCAGCACCTCCTGTAGCCGCACTTAATTTCTGGGTCGCATCATAAGCCACGCATGGGAGCAGCAGCGACACGGTGGGCATCATCAGCCCGGGACTGCCCACCCAGCTGAAGCAGAGTCAGCAGTCGTGTCTGTGAACAGCAGCCACACGGCCTCCAGCACCAGCCCCGGAGCTGTGCTCGGCTACCGAGGCAATGCCATCAGCAGCGATACAGCGTGCAGCACCAGCTCCGCAGCAGCGGCGGCACCGAGGCGCCGAGGCCTCGTCACCAGCGTCGCGTGCGATCAGCGGCAGCGCGCGCACATCGCCCGTCACAAAGCGCTGGCCCGTGCAGCCGAGCCGCCGGCCGGGGCGCCCCCGGAATCCCGGACTCACCACCACCTGGCGGTGGCGCTCGGCCAGACACTGCTTCAGCTGCAGCGACGGCGACGGAAGCGACTGCGCCTGCGCGGCACAATGCGGCTGGTTAGCTCCGCCGCTGATTACAACGGTGCCGAGTGACGGACCACGGCAGCTGATGTGGTCCTTTTGGGTCCAGACATCAGATACTTCACATAAACCACTACGGGGAGCCATGCTAGCAGGATGGGAGCTAAGGTCTTGCCTACATCAGTGTTATACAAACCCAAATGCGGGACAGCTTAAAGTGCATGTTATTTGCCATGTAAACCCAGCACAGTCAGGGCCTTCATAGTCAGGGCTATGATAACATGTTGCATGAAGGAAATCCTGTATGTCAGTTAGCAAAGATCGAAAGAGACGCTTAGCAACAATGGGCATTCGAACAACGTGGCTGATGAGATAGCGGAGTAATATGCAGGCAGGGCTCAGCAACAGTTAGCAGCAGCACCCAGTAGCACAAGCAGTAGCACTAGCAGTATCACACAGAACGAGAAAATAGCGTTCCTTTAGCGGAACATCATAAGCACAGCCAACGGGATCCGGCAAATCATGCCAAAGATTATAGTGAACAATGTTACACGCATCAAAGCAACCAGTCAAAACCAACTCAGGAAAACAACCAGCAAATGAAACTGTCGAAAGAGCGCAGAAATATAACGATGCAACGGAATTTTCACATGTTATCAAAGATTTCCGCTTGGAAGCTCCATGTTAACTCGCATCGTGATTAAGAGCTTTCGTGTAACAAAGCGCGTTTTGGGTTAAATAACTTTCCCCTGGAGTGTTCAAGGTGCGTAATCACTGCACGGATAGAACCCAATTATCCTTTGGAGACGGAGCACTACTGAAGTTCCGAAACATCACCGCCGTTGAAAACCGTTAGGAGTTATTTTTTTGTTATAACATGTATCCTCATCATCATATATTATGACAGTATACATTATTCATGGTATAGAAGTTTATATTATTTCTTAGTTTTAAAGTAACCAAGAGTTTTGACACATCCAGGTCACCGATCACGCCAGATCCTCACCGTCGGCTTCACCGCCACCTGGGTCAGCTGGAACGGCTCGACAGTGGTGGCCGGTCGCACCAGCTTGGCCGGCACGCCCACCGGCTGCTCCAGCACGCGCCGGTTCACCGGGCGCGCGCGCACCTGCTGCCTGCAACACGAGGAGCGACGCTGCACCACTGTACGCCGACACGGGTACGGCGCTGGACCGGGCCGTGCGCAGCCTCAACAGCGCCGGGCGCCACACTGTACTGCCGAGGGCCGTCAAACGGCCACGTGTGGCGACGTTTTGACGTCCTATTGCTAGGCGTGTGGTGTTTTGGGTGCTAATACACGTTTCGTCAGTCACGATCTGCCAGATGGATGCACAATTGTCTGAGAGACACGTAAATAGCCCGAAATGTGTGCCATTTTCAACAGGCTCTATCCCTCGCATTCTACAAGATTGTAAACTCTCCTCGAAGAAAGTTTTAAAAAATATACAAGCCAACCAACCAACTAGCACAAGCGCTACGACAGAGGCCTGAGATTTATCGGCGTTGAACGTTAACAGCGTCATTTAGCCAGGGCGATCCCTGCCGGCAGTTCTTTATAACCCGCATCGCACTCCACAGGCCACTTACTGTCGGCACAGCTCCAGCTCGGCCTCCTCCAGCTGCTCCCGGCTGGGCACGTTCAGGGAGCGCGTGCGGGAGCGAGTCATCAGCGCCGGCGTGTGGCCGACGGTCACGTGCCGCGAGCCGGCCTCGGCGGTGCTGGCGGTGCCAGCCGGCCGCTCACCTGTGGCGGCGCAGTGGTCAGCGCCGCTACCGTCGCCACACACGCGCTCAGAGCCGGCCGGCAACGCAGCCTATGCCAACGAATCGCGCTGCCCCCCACAGCTCACGTGGCTCGCAGCCCATCACAGAAACCGAAGCACAGGCAAAGGTGACTCCAAAACGCTGTTGACTCGCATGGCCAAAGGGCGGCCACCTTCTGCCACAAGCGCTATCAGTAGATATGAAAGCACGGATCCACATGAATAGCACCACTGCATCGACCGTGTGACGTCATTGGAAGCGTGCGCGTAGCATCTTCCCATGTGCGTACAGCTGCACCCACCAGCAGGACGCGTGTGGAACCGCGGCGGCGTCTTCCTGTAGAAGCCCTCCACCATCTGGGCCATGGACTTGAACTCGGTGGTGGACCGCGTGGCGGGGCCACCAGTCTGCCGCTCGTCATGCAGGTGGAAGGGCTGTGGCTCGGTGACGGGACGCAGCAGCGCCTGTCGCGCGCGCACCGGCTGCCGGCGGACGGACGGCGCACACACGGTCAGGCGCGCTGCTCACCCGGGCCCGCACCTCCGCGCACACCCCCGGCACCGCGCGGAGCCGGCGGTCCCCGCGCGCGGTGTACAGCATCGCGCTCGCCAGTCTGAGGCCGCGTGCACGTGGCAGGGCTGGCGGTGTCAGCGGGGCGCCGCGCCAGTGAGGCCACTGCGCAGCGGCAGCACTGACGCACCATGTCATGCGAGGGTCCGTGACACAACAGCGAAGCGGTGGTGATCCGCATCGGCCAGGGAGAGATCGCGCCAGGAGCAGGTCTTTACGCAGTGCATGCTGAGGCCGTGCTAATGGCCGACCGGACCCGGGTTTTGAGTTCGAGGTGGTCACACACCAGGTGGTGGCACGCGTCACCGGGTCGAAGTTACGCTTCGGACCGCAACGCAGCACTTCGCTGGATGATACATCGTAAGAACGAATGGACACCCGCAGGCCGTGCCCAAATCATGTGCTCAGCTTCGATGTAAGGCACAGGCTGTGAATGTAGCGATATATACAGCTGTAACATGACTTCGCAAGGCCGGATGTGCAAGGGTTCAATAGCTGAGCCAACAATGCAACGTTAAGCCGTTCTACTGTACACAGTGGCGTCACCTATCTCTTGGGCTCGGCTGAGCCGTTCCACTGTACACAGTGGCGTCACCTATCTCTTGGGCTCGGCTGAGCCGTTCCACTGTACACAGCGACATCACCTGTCTCTTGGCCTCCGCGGCCTTCTTCTTGTAGTCAGCCATCTGTTTGCGTAGTGTGTCGAGCCGCGCCTGCTGCTGCTGCTCAACGGCCTGCTCGGCGGCGGCCCGTGCGGCCGCGCGCAGCTGGAGCCCGCGCCTGGCGCCAAACACGCCAGTCAGGGCAGCTCACAAGTCAGCCGAGGGGTCAGGACAGGCAGTGGCACCAAGGACGGGCGGCAATGGCACCGAACGGGCAGTGGGGGATCGTGATAGGCGGCGGAGCGATCACAGGACAGTGGCAGCTCCCAACGGGCAGCGGGAGTTCATGGGTAGCGGTAGCTCATGACAACCACTGGCAGCTCACGGCAGGCAGTGGGAGTTGAAGGCAGTGGTAGCTCATGACAAACACTGGCAGCCCACAACATGCAGCGGAGTTAATGGGTAGCGGTAGTTCATAACAGTCACTGGCGGTTCACGACATACAATGGAAGCCCACGGCAGGCAGTGGAAGCGCACGGCAGGCAGCGGAAGGGTACGGCAGGCGGTGGAAGCGCGCGGCAGGTGGGAGCTCAAAGCAGGCGGGAGACAGCTCAAAACGAGAACGGAGGATGTCAGGATAGGCCACGACGGCAGGGAGGATGTGTGGACAGGTCACGACGGGCAGGTCAGGAAAGGTACCCAGAACGGCCCACGATGGGCACTGAGAGCACGCAGTTATCTGGGTTTATAGGCTCTTCAACCACAATGGTCATTTTGCGCCAGCGAAACAGCATAGGGCAGTGAAGATATCGAGGAGCCATGACGGACACCGGGGAGGTAAGGACAGCTCACAACGGGCGGGGGGAGGTTGGTACAGGTCACGCCACGCGACAGAAGGGTCAGGATATCTCTCAAACAGAAAACATGTCCCAACAAGACAGGGCCAAAGCAGGCGAGGTTCACATGGTTAATCCAGGGACGGCTTGTGACAGGGAATGAGGATACTCAGGTCCGGTAGACAAATATAAAAGAGTATAAAGTTTTACACGTGCGATTCTCAATAATTCGCATGTGGGGCGAGCAATGCTAACTGACAATGACCCTGAAAACACACAACAATCAGAGAAAACATTCTGCACCCAGCCCCACATACGTGTGAAAGCGCCAACGAGAAAAAATCCGGCCGTTCATGCGTCGCGTAGCCTTGCACGAACACCGGCTGAGGCGGTGGCGGTTCGACCGCGGGCCGGGGCGGCACTCACCGCAGCACGTTCGGCGTCTCGGCCACGACCAGCTTGGACAGGCCTGTGGCGGCCCGGGCCGCATCGTTCTGACTCATGCTCCGACGGCGGCCGCCGCTGGAGGGCGTGCGCCGGGCCGTCGGGCCGCCGCCGGCAGACGGCGTGCGCCGCGCCGGTTGCGGGCGGGCGGCCGTGGGCACCCGGGCCGCGTCGTTCTGGCTCATGCTCCGACGGCGGCCGCCGCTGGAGGGCATGCGCCGGGCCGTCGGGCCGCCGCCGGCAGACGGCGTGCGCCGCGCCGGTTGCGGGCGGGCGGCCGTGGGCAGCCGGGCCGCGTCGTTCTGGCTCATGCTGCGACGACGGCCGCCGCTGGAGGGCGTGCGCCGCGCCGCCGGTCCGCCGGCAGAGCGCGCGCGCTGCTCCGCCTGCTGCGGGCTGGCGGCCGGGCGGCACCGCCGAGCCGCCGCCGCCGGGGTTGGCCGACGCGGCGGCAGCGGCGGCGCGGCGCTGCCAGCCGACACAGAGCGGCGCCGGCCGCTGGTTGCTGGCGACTCCTGCTGGCGGCGTGCGGCCAGCCGCGGCGAGGCGCGGCTCGGGCCGGCGCCGCCCCGCGACGGCGTCGGGATGCCCGAGCGGCCAACGGCCGAGGGCACCGACGCGTCTCTGGTGTCCGGCCGGCCACGGGCGGCGCCGCTCGGCGGCGTGGCCGGCACAGACTCCGAGCGTGACTGGCGGCCAGGAAGGCAGCCGGTCACCGTCAGGCCGTGGGCCGATAATGCACAACTGTCCCCCGCCGTGGGTGGCATTGGAGTGAAGCAACCAACCAAGCGACGGCCTCGCCATGTCTGACTCCTGAGGCATGCACGCGATGTTTTACACCGTAGGTGAAAATAATGTGACGTCCATATCCACGGATGTCTGCGCCAAATGCTGAGAACTGCCCCTCTTTTATCGGTCTTTTAACATATGGAAATTAAAAGGAGGCAGCATTCACGTTATTATTATCTTTCCCTTCCCACGTCAGGTTGTAAAAAACTGCATGGTCGCTGGCAGATAATCCAGCACTCCACCCCGCGGCCAGCGTGCGCCGCCGCCGCCGCCACTCACCTGCTTAGCGCACGGCTCTCCCTGCGAACCGAGGGCGTTGGCGCGCTTCAGTGGCGGCCGGGAGCGCGGGACGCCATCTCGCGGCGAGTTGGTGACGTCACGCAGTCCGGCCGGCCGCATCGGCGACTGCGTGCTCATCAGGTTCTTCGGCGCTGCGTCGGCATCAGGACACCGGTCAAACGGGTATAGCGGGCCTGACAATCCCTCAAGCCACCAAAGCTTATTGATGAACTACGGGAGTTTGGAAGCCGACACCGCGGCGTAAATGGCGCCAACTCAAAACATCGTCCGAGGAGATTCAAGTAGCTGAAAAATTAAATTAGCATAGTTATGGAACACTCTGGGATGGTCCGCACAGGTTGACGGATAGAAACGGTACAACAAACAACAGAGGCCAAAGGATGAATTATAACTCAATCGCGAAGCATCTCGCCATAACCTGTGTGACAGTAGGTAACCATGCAGCTTACGTGAGCAGCATTCACATAGGCCGATGTCTTACACGCACCAGGGTGGTTACACGTCAAAACTTATACAAAACTCCCACTTACAACTTTCATTGTGTGACACCCCACAAATTTATCCATTATCCCTTACAAGCCAAAACTACCAGAGAAGCTTATATACCACCTTTTCTGTGCTGACAAAATATTCCAAACGTCTCCCTGACAATACTCGTAAACTTAACGACTGCTGCGGATAGAATTTGCAGGACAATTACACGCGCAGACGCCAAAATTGCAGGGCGAGAAATTCCACGCCTCACGTGTCTGCGCAGCACACCTCACTGTGACTGTGTAACCACAATCTTTGAATTGAAGTAGCTTAGGGAGGAGCCTTCTACCGTCCAAGGGTAAAACCCCATATGTTCATTCCTGGCCATCTTGCGTCTTTTATGTCATCAGATTCGTCTTCTCATGCTGCGTTCGGATATTTAAACCAATAGTTGAAATTTTCACAAACTTGTAGCTAAAAGAAAGGGCTGAAAATTCGTAAAAATTTCAATTGATTGTTTGAATGACCGAAGTCAGCATACGCAGACGAATCAGACGACATAAAAAACGCAAATCAGGCAAAAATTAAAATATGGGGTTTGACCTTTGCACGGCAGCCTTACTTTGTTGGGCGAGATCAGTAATTTTTTAACGTTTCAGTGTGTTTCAATTGTCAGCGCGCGTAATGCTTTTGACCTTCGAACATTGCCCTTAGTCTGGCGGTGGTGGCTTGTAACGTTTTGTTCGCAGCAGCCGAGCCATCCGGGAGCTCGGAGCTCACATTAGCGACGCAGAGGTATAGACGAGGAAGTCCAGCCAATATATGTCCTGTCGGGTAAAACTTGTGTTCCTACTACCAAGCAGTCCTGACACGCAACGCGCGTCGCGCAGAAATGTCCGAGCCAGACGTGTCGCGTCAAAGCTTTGCAGTGTCAACATTCTGTTCGCAACGGTTTAAAGAAACCATGAGTCGTGGGCGCTGTCAACGGCTCTTTTCTCTTGTAAGAATTAGCACCACGAACACATGTTGCCATGTTGGAGCATAACTCGTACAAGTGGAAGCATCGAAGTTACTTCTTATGCCTAACAATACCTCGTTGAGCTTTATAGCATGTGCACAACGACAATGATTACTTACTCGCTCCCAGAGCAGCCTCAGCACGTAGAGAGCGAACCTGGCATGCCCTTCACGTCACCTGTGCGACTTCGCGATCAAAGGCCGCACCGATTGCAACGATAGTGACACCAGGATGACTTTTTGATGACTTTCCCTGAATGTTAGATTACTTTGCTAAGTGCGCAGTCGGACCCGCACACGACAGCGGGGTCGTACATATGAGCAGCAACAAAAAATAACTGATTTATGCTCACCTGGAAACGCTTCTGATAGTGGCATGGTTGCTTGGTCCACATCATAATCATTCTTTCTAAGTTGTAGGCTCTTAAATTATCACCTAATCAACTTGATGTTTATACACAGCAGCAAATAACTTTTGAGTTAAAAGAACTGCGCCGGATTACAGGATAAAATCAGAGCTTGTCCTGGCAGCCTCTGAGATCTAGGCCATTCACATAACATCAAGAACAGGTTATATATAACTTTTGACGTCCCCCAGTAACAATTCTTCTCCTCTGGTGTCTCCTAAAGTTGATGTGCCCTTCTTACTCCCATGGCCGCCTCATGTCGCCCGACGTATGCCAATGGAAACATGTCATTTTCACAACCAATTACACTAAGATTTCTTTGGCTCTGATATTACCCATTGTCAGTATTGTTTCACTTTGTGATGACATTGCAGTGACTTTCTTTTATTGGGAGTGCGGCGGCGCGCACGCGTGCAAGTGCGACGTGACGTCTGCGCCCCAGCTTCCCTCAGAAAAAATGAGTCCCTCCAAACTTTGTGTCCACTTGCATCCTATGACTTATCTTTCTGATGGATTTAATGGCGAATTGGTGATGTTCACAATGGCACAATGATTACAGCATTAGTTCACAACTGCACCATCATACACAATTTTTCCTCAATGATTTTCATTCCAAGACAAATCCTACATTAAAGCATTCTCTGGTAGTATCGGTGTGACAGGGTTATTGTCTAAGTCAGATCTGTGATTAGCCTGCATTCCCATTTTACAATGGCCCCTGGAATGGCCCTGGCTTCAGCAGAGGACAGGCCAGAACCCATCTGACCTGGCCAGAGTTCAGCTACCTTTGATGCCGCAGCATTTCCAACTTCTGTGGGAATCACCATGCTGGATACAAAGCTATTAGGGCATGCTCTCAATGTACACAAGCTTTCTATATTGTGACAATGTGTGTGACTCAATAGCACATCAAGCTTCAAGTACAGCTCACCAATGTGAAGTTGCTCAATATCTTGGCCTTCATCACAATTGAACATGAAAACAAACAAGCAACAAATAAAATCAAGTTAGGTGGCATGCCTTTCAATGAAATACACATGGCATAAGAGTGCCAAACTTACCTGCCTGGCTCTTTCCCTGCATAATTGGTTGAATGGGCTTTTCTTTTGCGAGATGTTCATTGTTCCATACATTGTCGGCATTGGTGTGGACTTCAGCCTCATGGTCCACCTCTGAGACATCCGAAAACCATCAATTGGCACACAAATGAAAAAATCAGCAGCTGAAATGGTCATTTTCATTGCTATCCATCAAACTAACTGGATGCAGATATGATGCATTTGCGTATGTGTGAATCCTGCAGCACGGAAGTGGTTACATCTGTACATTCCACACAGATGGGAAATGTCACTCATGAACATTGTGTTAGCCTCATGACGATGGATTATCACACACTAAATTAATTGTAACATTTGCCTGCAGAAAAATGGGATGTTATTGCAAAATGCCAGTTTGCAACCAAACTGACACTGCCTTATCAGCCTTTACTGTCCCAGCAGCTCAGCAACAGAATAGGTCTAATGTGGCCCTGCCACCAACTTCAAACCCACCAAAGTATGAATCCACATCAGCGTTCTCGAATTCTTCTTCATTGAAATTGGTGAAATCACAAAACATAGGCGCGTTGAATTCCAAGTTCATTGTGAGACGTTAACTTGTTCTTGCTCCTTTTTGGTCTTGTTCTTGGCTTGATTTCTCCCCTCAGCGGATGGATGCTTCTCTTAGAGGTCTTATTCACTTATCATGCACCAAAAGACATGCGTGAGGTACACACAGTCTATAAACCGCGGATTTCGAGCAACACGACAGTGCCCCACCACCGGTCAAATTTCAAATGGAACGGGTGACCAGTTGACGACGACGTTACCAATCTCTCCCCCCTACCTTTTGTTGTAGTCAGCTGGCTAAAGATAAAGCTGGTACCAAGCAGCTATTTTTGGGAAAGCTTGTTTTAACGGTATTTCTGTTCCCTTTTTGATTGCTCTCGTGAACTCCTCTTTCTAACTATGATAAGTTTTCCAAGTTTGAAAATTTTTTAAAAAGATACTCCATTTGAACCAACCTTTATATTTGTGACGTCAGAAACAGCTGTGAAAGGAACCCAGTAAGTCATCGAGCAAATTTAGTACGAATTTTACTAAGAGGGGATGCTGTTTAGCACCGAATCGTAATAAAACAGGCGGAGTTTAGCACGGATCAATACTAAACATCCCAGCCCGGACACCCAAGGCTCAACGGAGGGAATCATGAGCGTAGGAACAAGGGGGGGGGGGGGAGCAGGAGGGCCATGCGCTCCCGCTTTTCAAGGTGGGGGGGGGGGCAGCAATGTTAACTGCCCCCCCCCCTCCACTTTTCAGATTAAGGTTGCATTTGGCTTATTTTTGCACACTACATTTAACATGCATGCCGACCCACCTAGTTCACCAGCCGTCTCCCTTAAGACGCGTCATCTTTTTCGTTTACTCATTGGCCATCGCTTAGTGTTACAGCCGCAAGGCCGACGCCGCATGGCCCGGAGACTGCAGCGCCGGGCGTTGCGGCTGTTATTGCTATGACTTGCAAGCGCGCATGTTCAAGACCATATTACGTAGTTTTCTCATCAGTAATCCGCTCTGACAGGATCTTGAGCATTTTAAGACTAACATGGGTTAGCCACGTTAATACAAACTAGGAACCCCATTTCATCCACAATCTACGGTCAGGGAGAACTCAATATCTCTGAAGAATACGGAAAAACACGGAACTGGGGTCGATGTAGCAACTATCGGACTACCTGCGGTAATCATGGATGATGTTGCGTCAATGAGGGTTACTATGCTGATCCGGGGCCAGCTGCGCGGGTGAAAAGGCCTCCCGTGTCAGGGAGGGGAACAATGTGAATATGATATATCCTTCTCATGGCTTCCGGATCGACCAGGAGATCCCGCCCCGTGCCACCAGAACGATAGTCAGAAGACACTTCGCGATGGGACGGAATGGCCCATCAGCCCCTGACCGGAAACGGTCATGTACACCTGGCGTTCTATTCAAGGGGCCCTTCGCCCGGAAGGAAATAAGTGGTCTCATTGTTGTTGGGTAATGGGGTGTCTCATTATTGTTGAATAAGGTGGGTCGAAATGAGTTTAAAAAAGTGAGCAAGGTTATGCCATGTTTGCCCGAGAACGTCCATTTTTCAGAATGTATTATTGAAACAAATAATATGAAAAGGCTTGAACATGCTCGCCCGCAGCCTCGAGAGCAAGGACAAGGATGGTCTGGGTTGCAACGTCCGTAAAACCGAAAAGTTTCGGCCACTGCAAGTGCCACCCGACGGCGGGCGCCATGTTAATATGTCTTCTGGATAAATAAATAGCTGCAAAAACACAAAAATAGGGATTTTACCCTCACTCTTCCAGTTAAACCACCAGATTCCAGCCCCACTTTGCAGTGCTTTAAGGGCCAATCCGTTCTTTTCATCAGTCTAAAAGTAGCACACGTGAAATATGCGCTCAGACTGCATTTTAAATGTAACACCTGATGTCATGAAGCGTTCAAGGATACTTTTTTCAGAAGCGTCGTCATTTTCGTCCACCCGTTGACCACAACTTAATATTAGCTGCTAGGCCCAAGCTGCGTGGTTACGGAAACTGCAACGCCTGGGGTCGAGGCTTGTGTTTCTAGGATTTTCGAGTGCGCATGCTCAAAATTAGGTCACATAACTTATTTTATTAGTCGATTAAATAAATGAGTTGACGTACAGGTCAACACATCCTATGAACTTTCTGTGTCTAGCTTTCTTAGTTCCCAAGATCTCAGGGGGGGGGGGGGGAATTGATCCCCATCTGAGCGAAGGATATCTAGCCGGTCACCCGGGTGCGTGCTGATGTTAAGTAGAACAGGATGTGTACGGTGCGGCTGGGCGTCTACGTCCGACAACCAGCTAAAGTATCGGATCCGCCGGGTACTGGATGTTATTGATGAGGAGGTATCGCACAACGGAATAAAAGTGGGATAGCACGTGCGTGCTGCAACGTAGTATGCAGTTAGCAGCGTTCTTTAGTGATGTGCGGCACTGCTTAAAGGGAGCATTTCGCTTTTGAAAATATCTAAGCGAGCATGAGGTATGGTGAAACAAGCCCACCTCTATTTGTATACTTTTAAGTAGAAAAAAAACTGCTCTAGACACAACAATTTCTCTGTCTCGTAATTTTGTCAATCGACATGTGCTTGCTTGATTTCGTCGTCGTACCTTGCGCAACAATGATGGGGGGCAATTGACAGCCGTCATGTCCAGAAATCGTGCTCACGAACACCAGATATGAAGGAGTCGACCGACAACATTATATTGTTTGGGGAAGGGCCTTGATTACTGCATGATGCAGAGGTGCGGAGGCGTGGGTACTACCCATGCCTCCGCTGCCAGGCAATGCTTGCCCAACACAGCCCGAAATGGCGTCGTGGTTGGAAGGTCTTGATCCGCTGAATTTGAGCTGTCTGTTTGACTAGAAGAGGCTCAGATCAGCTTTCGCTTTGTTCGGGGGCATGCGCCGCCGAGACGGGGACAACTAATCCCCTCCCCCCCCCCGTCGGGGTGCGACGTGGGGCGGAGTCAGACCGGAAGTCAATGGGGTGGGGCGCCACATGCCAAACAGACTCTTAGTGCACCCACAGGCCTGCGGCGCAGTGAGACACATTTGACAAAACCTCGGGTTATCCGCGACAGACGCGATATTTGGATGAATACTGAAAATGGATCACCGTTGGTAGAAGAATCGTGTGCTCCTGTGCCCCTTGGTGTCCGCCTCTCCGTTTGCGGCAGAGCCGATGTGGTCGTTTGGACTTGGTTCCCGGCCTGTTCAACCAGAGCATAACATGACGACTTCAGATCGTCTGTTGGGCTCTACAGGTCTCAAGCTATGGTGCTGCCCTTGTGAGTCTTTTTGTTAGAATGCTGAAAGGAGCTAGCATGTAGTGAACCCGTGGCGACCAACGGCTTGAAGAGGTTTCAAAACGTCCCAACATCAGGCTTTTAATGCGTGGATGTGCCGGATGGAACGTTGCAAAATATTGGTGCGAATGTATTATCGCAACGCTCCAGGTGAGCCGATACTTCTAGGCAGTATGGAATAACGCATCAGCAGTGCAATTAGCAGGATGGTTAGACTCGCTGATACAAAAACACTGTCTCGCTATTGTTACGCGCATGTTTAAATTGTTTTAATGCCAGTTTCTCTCAAATGTGGCACGGTGCGATGCCCAGCCATGCAGCAGCGGACAACACTACCCCGTGTCTGTAACAGTCGGCCTTCGTCTGCCTTCTCTTCGATACGTGGCGGCGGGTCCGCAGCAGTGACTCGGTAATTCAGCGCTGACGTCATCGTAGGCTTCGTGCGCGTAGGCCAGTGAGCGTAGGCCTCGTGAATGTAGGTCCAGTGAGCGTGGGTATCCTGGGCGTAGGTCCAGTGAGCGAAAGTCTCTTAGGCGTAGGTCTCCTGGATTGTGCCCTATTCCGGTAGATATAAAAATGCCACAGGTGGAGAAAATCTGCTGCGAAAGACGCAGTGGGGAAGTTTTCTCGCTGGGCCTCTAAATCTCCGAAATACCCAGCGTAGACATCATACTCCGCCACGGGTGCGCAACGAGGTGGAAGCCGATGCCGTATAATAACAGTGCAACTGCGCGGTGCCAGCTTGGTCGTAAGAGTTCTGGAAGTAAACTTGAGGATCGATGGCAAGGCAACGATGCTGAGCGAGGTGGGCGAATTGCACACAGCAAAGCTTCACGTGCTTCCAAGTGTGTGGCTCTGGTCAGATTGCTATCTCCAGATCCCCTCAAACCAAGTGCTTGTAGGTTGACATAATAGGCGTTTTTTCCTATCACGGTCAGTGATGATAAGGAACAGTAAAGGCAGTAGGAACAAAGAAGCAAGTAGTAACTCCTAAATAAAAGAGCAAACCTACACAGACTATATGGGTGTAGAAATTAGTTGGGGGATTAGCTGAGCAGTGAGAAATAGCCTCAATTACCGCCAAATTACGACAACAGGTAGATTTCTCCATGGATTTAGTCCGTCCTCCCCTCAAATTTCGTGGGTGGGGGGCGGAAGGCGGGTAGACCTCATGCGTGAGACCTCTGCTTTTGTATTTGAGTGTGCATGGTGCATGCCACGATGCGTCACAGCATTCGCGATGCCACTCGATGCGGATAACGCCACAGGGGTGTGTTCCGCAAAATAACTTGGTGGGGGACTGAGCAATTAAAATTTTCCAGACCCACCCCAAAAGTACGCCCCCAAACGGGGTTTTCCGCGGATTCGTCCACTTTCTTTGCAAAGTTGGGGAGGCTGGAGCTACTGTGTGAGGGGGACTACTACTGGATGGGGAAACTAGACCCTTGCAACCTGAAGTCTTTAGTTTATTCCGTGCGTACTCTGTGCACATGAGCATAGCCGGTGACTTGAAAGAGAGAGCGCAAATGATTAATAGCCCTCGTCCTGCTTCGCCGTTTTTCGTCAAGCGGACTCACGGCGAAGTCGATGCGACAACCCTCATCCCTCTGCCACTTCCAGACTAAGAAAGATGTCCCCGTGTAGTGTTCCACGTTCAAGGGAACACAGGGGTTTTATATGTGGAGCAATGACCACGACATTGGCCAGTGTTGGGTGGGAAGAGGAGGCAGGGGGAGAGTAAAAGAGCCGAAGCTCGTACTGTAACTGGGATAACGAAGAAGGAAACAGCCTTTTTCTATATTTATTTTGAGTACTTCCCTTACGTATCCCATTGTTTGCTGTGCTGTACTGTACTACCGCCTTCTTTTCTGTCCTGTTCTTCCATCTTCATTCCTGTCCCGACTGATCTTGTCTGCTGTTCTGCCCCCAGGATGTCGAAAGCGTAATGGTTAACAGGCCTGCGTTAGCCACTGCACGTCTGGGAAAGCAGAGGTACTGGGTTCGGTTCCCCACGGTGCCCTCCCTTCCTGCCAGGGTGAGAGGCAGGCGACCCATACAGCATCAGCAGCTTAGTGCGCCGTAAAGTCCCAATGACGGCTGCTGTTCCACCCAGTCATCTCGCGCCTTGTGCTGTTAACGTCTCCTCTACCCTGTTCTGCCTCTTCCTCTGTCATCCTGCCCCAGTCGCCAACCTGTCTTGTTCTGTCGCGACCTACCCTCCATCTGCTGTCTTCTGGCTACCATGCTGTGCCCAGTGATGGCGGAACCTCTATTGAGATTGAGGGAAGGAAGACATGATTATTTCTCCGTTCCTTATGGTTATTGTGCGCCCGTATGTGTGATCCCTCTCTCGATTTTGTCTATAGAATGCTTGCTTTTTGAAATCTTGCAATTCAAAATGTCAGTTTCAGTTCAGGTTGTCTCTTCTAGACTTCATTCTCACCCTCCGATGCCGATTGTCCGCGTGACCTCAGAGTGGTGACTACGTCCATGCCAAAGAAAGCCAAACTGTTATTCTACAGTACGTTGATCGATTAATTGATTAATGTGCATTTGGGCGGTTACAAATTATCTCCGGACTTTTACAACCCATCGTCAGGAGAAATATAGACGGCTGAGGTCATGAGGATAAAGGCAAGCATTCAAAAGCAAACGCACTGAAACGAACGTAAATGCACACTAGTCACGACTCCGCCCGATGCACAAGTCATGACATCTCCAGATGTCCCACGAGAGGTCTTTTCCAAGACCTTTGGCAAGAGTACAATAGGGAGAAGTCGAAGATAGTCCGGGAACTCGTTATACATATCGGGTGCACGAATAGAAAAACGTCGCTTTCCCATTTCAGTACGCGAACGAGGTACAAGCAGATCCCTGCCCTGTATCGTGGGTCGACCGTGCACTTCACCCACAGTGCGGAGCATGCGAACAAGCGAGTCAGGCCCGCCCGAATAGAGGGAGCGGGGTGGTGCGATATGTGCCTAGATCTGCAGCGGAGAGTCAGCCAAGTCTCTGATGTAGGTCCGGCACATGATAGATGATTTTGCGGCTAAGAATGAGTTTTGCAGTGAAGTTGAACACTTTTTGAATCCTGTATATGCTGAGCTGTGAGCCGCTGCCGTACACCGATCCGTTATCTTAAACACGTTCATAGTGCTTGCTGGCCGTTCTGTCTAGTGGCACGCTGACTTGTTTTTTCCTGCACTGCTTTACTTATTTGTCGACAGCATCTTATTTTTCACGCATCCCCTCCGTGTTTAACACCTATTTATTACCACTGCCAATCTCGTACATGCGGTAGTAGTTGCCTAGGGACAGTGTAAGAAAACTTCTCTTATTTGGTAGCTTTGCAGCACATTTTTTTGCCAGAGGTGGCGTCTTCATATCTACCGGTATTGATACGTTGTCTGGACTGAGGCGTCTGGCGCGTGCTGATTGGTTGGTCGGCTCCCAGCGATGACCTCACGTGACACGCGAGAGCCCGCGGCGCGCCGTACCGCACAACCCGGCCGCCAGTCGCGGGGCGGGGCGGGTGCTGGCGCGGTGGCTGGCTCCGACGATTTCTGGTGTGGCCCCGTGTCTGAGTCTGCTGTCGACGCGACTGGAAACCGACAACGACCATGCACAGCAAGTCCGGTGAGTACTGGACGTGGCGTGAACTGGCGTGAACTGCGCAGAGCTGGAATGCCGCGTCTGCCGTGGCGGGCGAATTCTGGGTGCTGCTTCACATGTGTGCGGTAAGGTTCACTTGATGGCGAGGAAATGCCTGTCGCGTGTTCTGGTCGTCCGAATTGAAGAAGCGTAGTCCTTTTTTTAAGGTGACAAGAAACGTTCCGCGGGATGCGAATAGGACTGTTTTGGCTATTCATTGCTGTAGTTGAGGCCGTATTTCCTGGGGTGGGATTCCTGAAACGAACTGAATAGCGCTTTGTTCTTTGCCTGCGTTGGAGTAATCGTGACAGACTGTGCTGGCGCGGCCTGAATGCGTTCTTGTCTTGTACGAAATTCAAAAGATTCTTATGTTCTTAAAACGTTTTAGCGTCTTGCCCGGTTTTGAGAACGGATCAGCTTATCGTCCCAGCTACGCTCGCGTGTTTGCACCACGGATGGGGAATGCTTGGAACAGGTCAGTGTAGCAAACATTTTGGAACACAATATTCGAATGGAATGAGAATCTCCACTTGGAACGAGAACGTAGTGAAATTATGCTATTTCAATGAAATTTGGTTTGGTTGCTGTCACACCCGCCATTTTGCATTTTCCCGATGCGGATGGCCAGTAAGCATTGCACAGAGGGACGTTCGTTCAGGAAACTTTGGCTACCCAGAGGACCCAATCGTTAGCAGCGACGAACCAGAGGCAACGTGACACCAGTGCTAAGTACAAAACCATGCCGCCGAAGTTGCCGGTGGGAGAGTCGGATGGATGGAACTGTCAAGGAACATTGGGCTAAGCGTGATGCGTGCCTTTCGTTCAGGCACAGTTAGCTCCAAGCACATTCTTTTCCCATTATTTAAAAGAAAAGTGCCGAAAAGTGCAAGATGGTTGGCAACTGGTGGACACGGTTGATTAGAAATTGGTAGCGGGTTAGTAGAGCACAGTCCCGTGGGCAACGGGTGGATTGAGTAAAGGAAATGTTATCCATTGACGGCCCCCTAATGATGATGCTGGAATTTGATGACTCTGAATGCCTGACGGAATCCCGTTGCATGAAGACGTGAACAACTATTCGACATCAAAACCAATAACACAGGACAGCGGTTGTCACAGGATAGCTGTATCAAGTATAGTATATACACGCGCCCAAAGCACCTAACGCGGGTTAACAGGCACCTCATCGTGGCGTAATTCAGGCTCCATGGTGTTACGTAGGTACAAATGGTTATATAGCGTACCTATGGCGTTACCACGTTCTGTTCTGTTCTGCTATTTTCTGCTTTGTTCTTTTCTGTTCTGTTCTGTTCTGTTCCATAGCGTTCTGTTTCTGGTCTGTTCAATTATGTGCGGTACTGCTCTGTTCTGTTTTATTCTGTTTTATTCTGTTTGCCCTGTTCTGCCCTGTTCCGTCCTGTTCTGTCATGTTCTGTCCTATTCTGTTCTATTCTGTTCTGTCCTGTTCTGTCCCGTTTCATTCCGTTACGTTACGTTTCGATCTGTTACTACTTGACCTCACGTCGCTTGTGGTGCATCATAATTGTGTACAGGCGGTGAAGTAACATCCGCGCAGAGTAACAGGCGCACATTAGCGTGACGTGCGGCAAGCTAAGACTTGCATGCAGCAAGTCTGCCTGTTATTCTGGTCCGTTCTTCTCTGTTCTGCCCGTTCTGTTCTTGTTCGAGTGGCGCAAAAATCTTGGCACTTTTTCCGACGCCCAGGGCGGTTCTGACCAGCGCAGAGCTTACACTTTTGGCGTTCCGGCTTACAGTATCCTGTCTCGGCGATGACATTCCTCTGGTCTCCTGATCTCTGCTGGCCAAGTATTTGGTTTGCGGGAGTGTTCCGGCCGTTCCGTCCCGATTGTTTTGACGGGCTGAGTCATCCCGCATAGATTACCGGCGGCACATTGTTCGGGTCATTCTTATTCGTGTTCTCTTTTGGTTCGTTCGTAAACATACCCGATGCATTGAGTCACACCCTAGAGCTATGGGCTCCCTGACCATATTGGAGTAACTTGTCTGTTGCGCAGCATTGTGGGCCAACCATGTGCTTCGCCCCCGGGCCGCAAAAAAAGCTCGGAAAGCGACTAGAAGTGATTTTGCCCTGATCGTGTTCTGCGTCCTACCTTCCCCTTGCACGATGCGGTGTCCCTAGCATGCCAGTTGACGTGTCGCAGAGCGCGGGAATTTGGTGACTGGGTCCGCTCTGTGCTGTCTGGTGCTCGATAGACCTGGACCTCTGCGGGCTCTGTAGACCTGGACCTCGTCGGGCTCTGTAGACCTGGACCTCGGCGGGCTCTGTAGACCCGAACCTCGGCGGGCTCTGTAGACCCGAACCTCGGCGGGCTCTGTAGACCCGAATCTCGGCGGGCTCCAAAGACATGGATCTCGGCGGGCGCTGCAGACCTGGACCTCGGTGGGCACTTGTCACCTCCCCTGCAGTTTGCCGTTACCCTCGTGTGCTGGTCAAATGGGCCGCGTGGCCCAGTTTTGGTGTGTCTGCTGCAGTGACTGTCGTGTACCGGTCTCAGGTGAGCCGTGCGGCCTGTTCTGGGCAGCTCTGCTGTTGCTGACGGCACTGCGGGCCGGCTGCTCGGCGGCACTCAGCGGTCCTCCACCGACACCTCTGGCCAGGCAGCTGCGCCAGGGTGCCCCCCATCTCACGCTCGAGCAGGTCTGTGGCGGCGGCCCGCAGTCTTCCCTCACGTCTCCTGCCCATGGATCAAGACAAGGAAGGGGCGTGACTGATTGCCTGGTTGGGAAGATTGTATGCCTGCGAAAACCATGGGCTCCCTTTTCGCGGGCCTCTCTGTTTGCTAGAAGAAAGCTTACGAAATACAGCTGCAACACGGCGAATGAAATGGCTTGGTGACACTGCGTTTCGGGGCCGTTCATCTACCGGGAATAGATCCCAATGCCGCCTGATGCACCATGAATTGTGATGAAGGAACATTAAATATTTTCCGGTTGTGAACTGCGTAATGCCAATAAGGCCATGATGACTGCCGGCACTGAACCGGCGGCGACATTGCCGGTGACGTCTGCTTGGTGCGTGGTCTTAGATATTGCGATGCACGGTAACTGGCACGACATACTCATTGAGTTGAATAATTTACAATTATATATTCACTTTTCGTGCGTGTGGACAGGACATATTCACTAAGCCAAATAATTTATAGTTACGTATTCGATGCTTGCACGTATGGATTGCTATTGGACGGGTACTGGCTGCCAGGACTCTCGAATTGAAATGCGTGATCTGCATAATGGTTATGAAATAGCGTCGTCATTTCGAGACATTAGATACTTTTTTGCTCGAATTCCATGGATTGTGATCAGTTGTTTGTTTTTTTTTGCGGTAGTTTGTCCCATTCGGAGCGCATTGCCTGGATGAGTGGCGTAGGCGTCTGAGCGGCGCCTATGTGTCGGCAGCTCGGGGCCAGTCTGGAGGAGGGTGAGGAGCAACTGGAGCGTCGGCTGGACCGCTGGACCCTCGACGTCACCGGACATTGGCAACACCATCTGGCCGAGATGCTGGAGCGACGCCAACTGGGTACTCGACATTGATGCATGGGCACCACTGACAGTGACCGCATCTCACCAGATGGCGGTGCGAACGGCCAGCTGCGGCCGAGCGGAGCTCGCTGGGTCTCGTCCGCGGTCACCGTGCAGTCCAGGCTGCCCCGGGCGGCGGGCAGCGGTCTCCCGGTCACCGCCGCGCCTCCGGACGGTACACGGCGCGCCCGAGCACAGCGTCTTCCGGCGATACACTATACAGTCCACGCCCGTTTGGCGCGGGTGGCCCGAGGCAACGAATGACCACCGCGAGTTAGCACAGACTCCACCCCTCGCTGTGGAGCGCGTTTGTGCCCTCAGTGCCTATGACACCGATAGGCGAAAACGTCTTCTGAGAGCACACGCTTCGGTTAGATCGTGCGCTATGAAACTGGCCTACAAAGTGCATGTGTAAGTTGTGATACCATACCGTATGACTATTCCAACTCGTTCGTTTGAGCAAAACACCCAGAGTATGAAGCGATGTGTTGTATTTCAGGACAATATTTCACGTGCCGGCTCTGTAACGTGTCAATAACATCTCACCAGTATTGACGCCTCGGAGAGGTTGACCAGTCGTGTTATTCCATGACCTGCCGACGGCTTGCAGGGGTGACTGGTTGGCATCCTCAGCATCAGCAGGAGCGGCGGCGGCGACGGCGGCGCGGCGTCGACGCCCTGCCCGAGGAGCTCTGGCATTCCTACACGTACAACACGCGTGTCGGCAACCGAGAGGGTAGGCTGGAGCGGCCGGCAGCAAGAGAGTGGGCTGGAGCGGCTGGCAACCGGGAGGGTAGGCTGGAGCGGCCGTAAGCGAGAGGGTAGGCTGGGGCGGCCGGCAGCGAGAGAGTGAGCTGGAGTGGCTGGCAACCGAGAAGGTAGGCTGGAGCGGCCGGCGGCGCTTTGGCCAGCACGCAGGTGGTGCTGGGCACTCTTCTGACGGTGTCTGCTGCTTACCCGCCGGTATGGCGCCTGGCTTTCTGTAGCACGAATAGTTGTTTGGCAAGCCGGTCGCGGCGCAAGTACAACCGCACATGAATGTGGTTATGAACGCACCTGGCGCTACGTGGGCAGGCACAAGGAGAGATAATGTTCAGCTGGTGCTTTAGCATAGGGTGCGGGAGATGATTGGGCGATAACCACGGCTGCAGTCGGGGCCTGCAGTTCACGGCCTTCAGCGTGGCCCCGTTCTTGGACGGCCGTGAGCGACTCCCTGCGTCGGTGGCTGAGCGGGTGTGACTGCGCCGACAGAGCTGACACTGCACGGCCTGTACGGCGGCCGCCAGCTGAACGTCTCTGGCCCTGCTGCGGACGCGCCGCCCCAGTGGCAGGTCGGTGGTCGGCCGGCGTCTCAGCACTGCGTTGTTTTGCAGCCATGGCGAGGTGCACGTCTTCCTTATTGGCGATGACTGATTGACGTGTTGAACTCTGGATGAGGTAATTAGCCTCCCGCAGTGGGTTTTGTTTTATTCGTGGTGTGTGCCCTTCGATGCTGTTTTGTTTTATTGTTTGTGTTTGATCTTCAACACATTCTTACAGGTCGTGAGCCATAAGGGGATGTTCTACATGTTTGTATTATATCCCTTCGCTGGGACTGACAAGCTCCACTTGGTGAAAACCAATTTCGACGGTATATTTCTCGAACATACAGGTAAGAACAGCTCACTGAGGTAACCGCCGTTTAGTAACGACCTGTGCCAGGCTCATGGTTTTGTATGACATATTTGCGACTTGCAGTCATAGTATATATCTACGTGGTAATAAACCAATGCAAAACCATCCTGTGAAGCAGGACATCACGGCGGCGTTCAAATTCTGGCATCGACATTTAGGCACAATAAGCAAACTGAAACTGATTGAAAACTAGTTACGAAAAGGCACCGTATTGCACTGACCGGAAAGTATACGCCCAAAAACTTCATAAAATGTCTTCGCCTGTTCAGCGTATGTCCATAAGGTGTCTTTTTCTAAAACTTTTCTCTCGTGTGTTAATCTGCGACTATGTAGTAATTGCGACCGTGTGTATGCGTGTCTGCGTCGGTCAGTGGGCTTCTCGGCGGCGGACCTGCGCGTCACGCCGTTCCTGCACTTCATCCACTCGAGCCACCGTGTGCAGCTGTTCCTCTTCGTCAAGCGCGCAGTGCCTGTGACGGGACTGTACGACGATGACAGCCGCACCTCCGAGCAGATCTTCTGCTTTCTGGTGGACCAGGCCACCCTGGAAACGGTCAGTCGGCCGGACGTGCCCCGCCCAGCCCACGCCGCTGTCCCACCACGCCGAGCCGGGGCAGGACGCACTGATGCAGGCACGGTCTCGCTGTCCCACCACGCTGAGCCGGGGCAGGACGCACTGATGCAGGGATGGTCCGATATGCGCCGATGCGCGGACTGGTTCTGAGAGTCTCTAAGCCCTCTAGGCCTTCTAAGCTTTCTGAGCGGCGTGGTGAGCAGCGCTCTGCTGTGTGGTGAGTTGCGCTGTTCTCTTCGTGGTGAGCGGCGCTGTGCTCTGTGTGCTCGGTGTGATGAGCTGCGCTGTGCACTGTGTGGTGAGCTGCGCTGTACTCTTCGTGGTGGGCGGTGCTGTGCTCTGTTAGCTCGGTGTGGTGGGCGGTGCTGTGCTCTGTGTGCTCGGTGTGGTAAACGGTACTGTGCTCTGTGTGGTGAGCTGCACTGTGCTCTGTGCGTTCGGTGTGCTCAGTGTGACCTGCCGTTTCGCTTCTTCCAATCTTCTTCTCCATGACGCGGCCAGCCGTGTTCCACACGCATGGTGTACCGCTTGCGAGGCGCTTCACCACAGGCTTCGACTGTACGCCATAGCTGCGAATGTGATGGGGTAGGAGGGGGGAGGGTGCAGCGCCCCCACGGCCGTCTGCTAAGCGTCACCCTGCTCTACAGACGGAGGCCTGCGCCCCGGTCACCCTGCCGAGCGGCCCTCCCACGGCCGAGATGCTGGTGGACACTCTGGTGGACGTGGCCACCGGGGCCGAGACGGTCGCGCTTATCCCGGTCCGGCAGGGCCGCGGCCTGGCCGCATACAAGCTGCGCAGCATTCCACACTCGGACTCGTTCAACCTCGGGTCAGACGGCCGACACTGTGCTGCAGTGGGCTCCAATTACCGCGCGGCCTCACTGACGACGCGTTGCTCAGGGACAGTGGCTCTGGCTGTCGTCAGCCGTTTGACTGGCTGTTGGGTCACCGTGCTGTGGCAATAGTCCACTGAACTTGCTTTCGAGCCTACTGCAACTGAGGAGCCCCCGACCCCCCCCCCCCCCATCTTCCCCCACCCTCCTCCCTTCCTGGCCTGTACCGCCGCAACTGCCACCCACTGGACCGTGCCCTGCTCGCTCCGCAGGCTGTACGCGACCATCGACACCAAGGGCTCTGTGTGGCGCGTGCGTCTCTTCACCGTGTCCGGTCACAGCTACGTGGTGGTGGCATACGGGGACGGGCCGTTCGACAGCATGATCCAAGTGTTCAGGTTTGTGACGCCACGCACCGTGTGCCAAACACAAACACCCCCACCTGTAGGAGACATTGGGCATTTCTCACTTCGCCTGCGTGAGATTCGAGAGCCTGAATGGAACAACCCAGTCAGCCGCATGGATATGTGGATGTGCCCCATTCCCGTGTTGGTGTTTGATGCGAGCTGAGCTATCCGTGTTCTGAATACGGTTTCCAGATACGACGCGGGAAAATTCACTCTGGTCCAGACGCTGGCGGTTTCCGATTACGTCATCAACATCGAAGTTTTTGGAATCGGCTTTCAGCACTACCTCGTATTGGCGCAGGTATGATCACGCCATCAGATCATCAGGTATGATCCTGCGATCACACCGTTCGATCATCAGGTATAGTCATGCGATCAGATCACCCGGCCACCAGTTCGTCATCATAACATCAGATCTTGCGAAGTGATCAGACATCACGGAGTCCAAAACATGTTCCAACTATTGAGAATCACGACATGAATTGTGGACTTTACGAGTGTACCAAAACCATGCCGCTTTTATCTACTTTCAAGCGAAGAGTCGATCGATAGCGATAGATCAAGCGAGCCGTCTGCGCGATGTGACTCGGGGTTTGATCACCAGCCTGTGCACGTGCCGTTCTGTCGCAGCAAAGCCGCATAGCGCTCTACACATGGCACGGGGCCAATTTTGCACTGCTGCAGGACGAGTCCTCAACGCTCACCTACAAGTGGACAGTGGTCGCCGTTAGATCGTGCAGGTTCGGCCCGCCGGTTGTCAGTCGTGTCACTGCGGTCAGGTCGGAGTTCCAAAGGTCTCTAGTTTGACTTTCGACCGGTGCATTATTTACGGGCACTGTTCGGTTTACGTTACATCGGTGCAGTGTTTGCGGACACCGATCGGTTTACAGTACAATGTTTATGGTTTACGGTTGCGGGAGTGAGAGGTGTGAACGGCTGCCACTCGCGGTCGTAAGAGCTACTTTAGTGATTGTATATTGTTGGCATAAACACTCACTGCGAATAGCTTCTGTGCATCGCACGTCATTGCAGCGTAGGGTTCAGTCAACTATTACTCGTTCTGGACGGGTTGCGGCAGATATACATGGCGGGAGATATACGCACTTACGACGTGGGAGGAGGAAGCTTGGCATAATCCATTGCTTTTTCAACTTGACACAGCCTTGGAGAGCGGCCACTTAGTTCACGGGCTGAAGCCACAGCTGACCTGACTTGTCTCTTTGTTTACGATCCCGACTTCATGGCGCGTTCTGCTGTTCGCCAGACACGAGGTAGTGCTGGTGAAGGTGTTCAGCGCCGTCGTCGAGGCCTCCTATCAGCCGAAGCAGGTGGAGTTCTACGTGCACAACGCGCGGACCGGCCGCTTTAATCGGGTGAGGGTCGAACAACAAGCTACACGCTACACGTCTGTCTCGCTACACGGTGCATGGCGCTTTTATGCACATTGTTCGAGTATGTGGTATGTATGTATGTATGTAGTAATGGGTAAAAAAGGGGTCTACATATGTTCACAGCATTATACAACTTTGTCACCAATGGCCGTTCATAATGGTAGATCAATACTATTATTAACGGTACGGTTACGGTCGAAGTATACACATCGATGAGATAGCCATTCAGCGTAAAGCTCGATTGACTTTCAAGGTGGCTAGACGGTGACTCAGACTGGGTCAGGTGGCGCCGCCCCCTCTGCCTCAGGTGGCCAGACGGTGACTCAGAGTGGGTCAGGTGGCGCCGCCCCCTCTGCCTCAGGTGGCGAGACGGTGACTCAGAGTGGGTCAGGTGGCGCCGCCCCCTCTGCCTCAGGTGGCCAGACGGTGACTCAGAGTGGGTCAGGTGGCGCCGCCCCCTCTGCCTCAGGTGGCCAGACGGTGACTCAGACTGGGTCAGGTGGCGCCGCCCCCTCTGCCTCAGGTGGCCAGACGGTGACTCAGAGTGGGTCAGGTGGCGCCGCCCCCTCTGCCTCAGGTGGCCAGACGGTGACTCAGAGTGGGTCAGGTGGCGCCGCCCCGTCTGCCTCAGGTGGCCAGACGGTGACTCAGAGTGGGTCAGGTGGCGCCGCCCCCTCTGCCTCAGGTGGCGAGCGTACCTTGCGTGTACGGCACCCGGACTGGCGAGGGCCTGAGCTGCTTCGAGCAACCCGGTGATGAGCTCGACCTGTACCACCTGGTGGGTGTGTCCACAGAGAACGCCACCTACATCATCGCCCCCTCCAAGGTGCGGCATAAACTCTGAGATTCAGAATGTCTGTGTATGCCTGTCCTACCTTCGTCATTACTGATTCTCAAACCGATGGCCAATGCATACACATCTATTGGTGTTATTTTGCCAGCTGGTGGCGGGTATCTGTTTCCAGCTCATTGTTTTACGGCGTGAAGGCTGACGGGCAGAACATCGGTTTCCCTCGCATAAAAAAGCCAGCGGCAGTCGTTACGTTATGTGCATTCCCATATTGTAACAGTGGGCATATGGTACAGGAAAATTGTACGTGCAGTCTGTTTTTTCTATGCATTTGTTTGGAAACGCTCCTCTTCGTTGGTTTGCTTGTTTTGCCCTTTTTCATACCATGTATTTGAACAGCGCTTGACGTTATGCACTGGCAAATTTGTGCAAAAAAGTGCACTTATCTCACTTAAATAAGATAACATGGCATGGGTGGTAGGCTAGTCAGCAACGAACAGCGTCAGTATAACATAAAGATAGCAAGTATGCACGTACATCTGATAGTTACAAGACATGCACCGATACTCTTCCTGTGTTCGTGGCGGCCAAACCGCGTGTCGATTGCCAAAGACGGGTTAGTTGATCCCTAATGTCCACGAATTCCGGGTTCGCTCAATGACATGTCAGTGTCCAAATGATGAGCAATATCCAACTGAGCAATAACAATGTCCAAATGCTCAGCATGACCCAAGTCGTGACGTCTTGATGCGTGCCCTACACACTGGCGGACACACTGGCGGACACACCGGCGCCGAGCGGCACACCCGTGCGGACACACCGGCGCCGAGCGGCACACCCGTGCGGACACACCGGCGCCGAGCGGCACACCCGTGCGGACACACCGGCGCCGAGCGGCACACCCGTGCGGACACACCGGCGCCGAGCGACACAGCCGTGCGGACACACTGGCGCCGAGCGACACAGCCGTGCGGACACACCGGCGCCGAGCGACACAGCCGTGCGGACACACCGGCGCCGAGCGACACAGCCGTGCGGACACACCGGCGCCGAGCGACACAGCCGTGCGGACACACCGGCGCCGAGCGACACAGCCGTGCGGACACACCGGCGCCGAGCGACACAGCCGTGCGGATACACCGGCGCCGAGCGGCACACCCGTGCGGACACACCGGCGCCGAGCGGCACACCCGTGCGGACACACCGGCGCCGAGCGGCACACCCGTGCGGATACACCGGCGCCGAGCGACACAGCCGTGCGGATACACCGGCGCCGAGCGACACAGCCGTGCGGATACACCGGCGCCGAGCGGCACACCCGTGCGGACACACCGGCGCCGAGCGGCACACCCGTGCGGATACACCGGCGCCGAGCGACACACCCGTGCGGATACACCGGCGCCGAGCGGCACACCCGTGCGGATACACCCGTGTCGATGACATCCACCCCTCCCGCCGATGACGTCCATCCCTCCCGCCGATGACGTCCACGCTTTCCGCGGATGACGTCATCCACACCTCCAGCCGATGACGTCATCCACACACCCGGCCGATGACGTCATCCACACCTCCGGCCGATGACGTCCGCGCCTCCGGCCGATGACGTCCACGCCTCCCAAAAATGACGTCCGCGCCTCCCGACGATGACGTCCGCGCCCCCCGACGATGACGTCCGCACCTCCCGACGATAACGTCCGCGCCTCCAGACGATGACGTTTGCGCCTCCCGCTCCATGTCGTTCTCAGCACGATGGCGGACGTGGTCAGTTGCCGAGGACAAGCGACATGCATTTTCCCGTTCTCAACACCCGCTGTCCCCTCTCCGCGGGAGAGAGAGGGAGAGAGGGAAAGAAAGAAAGAGCGAAAGAGGGAGAGTCTCCTGCGCTCAGTAGTCTACTTACAAACACTCACTGAGCGCGTGCACATGTGGCCCCCAACATAGATGCCGGCGAGTGAGATGCAGATCAACGTTTGACGGGTGCTGAATCATGCATGAACAACCTACCAAACGGCGTCACTGTGTGCCCATGTTTTAGCTTCATCAGCTTATCCTGGTGACAGTCAACGCGAGTGTCGGCTTCGTTCACGATCCGGTCTGGCTGGAAAATAAGGCACTGAACGAGCGAAAGGCAGCGTTACAGGTAACCTGGCTCGGCGCTGGGCCACCTCGCTGATCACTGGCCCGGCTGGGTAATGTCTCGCCACTAGCATACAGTCGAAAACATCACCCGACCGCCAGGGTAAGCTGGCTCGGCGCTGCGCAGCCTCGCTGATCACTGGCCCGGCTGGGTAATGTCTCGCCACTAGCATACAGTCGAAAACATCACCCGACCGCCAGGGTAAGCTGGCTCGGCGCTGCGCAGCCTCGCTGATCACTGGCCCGGCTGGGTAATGTCTCGCCACCAGCATACAGTCGAAAACATCACCCGACCGCCAGGGTAAGCTGGCTCGGCGCTGCGCAGCCTCGCTGATCACTGGCACGGCTGGGTAATGTCTCGCCACTAGCGTACAGTCGAAAACATCACCCAACCGGCCAGGGTAAGCTGATCACTGGCCCGGCCGGGTAATGTCTCGCCGCTAGCATGCAGTCGAAACCATCACCCGACCGGTCAGGTTAAGCTGCGCGCTTGAGATCTGACTCGGAGCGAATAACCGATGGCCGTCGCCGTCGCATGAGCGATCGCGTATTGTTGCGCGTCGCACGCAAGCTTATGTTTCGCCTTGGTAACGAGCTCAGTTGATGTAATGCGATGGCAGGCGCAGTACGATGCCAGCCTGCTGAAGCTAGACCGCATCGAGGCGGTGCTGGACCACGTGATTGTGCCCGGCAGCCACCAGCAGCTGCAGGGAGACTACAGCTTCCTAGGCCACATCACTGGTGAGCTTGCCAGAGCCCGCTGGCGTCTGGCAAACCCGGCTGGGCTGGTCCTCTGCAAGGGGGTTTTCAGCAGCCGGGGTTTGTATTATCAGTTCGATTTCTCGCACATGCTCTGAAGATTTATCCAGCCATTCGCTTCGTGTCTTCGCTTTGCTTCGTTTGCATCCTACCGCTAGCTCAAATGCTACCCTGGAACCTGCCCGACACCTGCACCAGAACCTGCCCCGACACTAGCCCCGATACAGGCTGGTTTGGTTGAGCGTCGTCTTCCGCAACGTGGCTCGCTATACTCCACCTGCTATGGCACAACGACGACCGGGGAACACCGCCCTGGTCCGCAATGAGTATCGTATCGCCCCGCCCTTGCCTGTCGTGACCCGCAGTTGGGTATTGTCTACCCCTGCTCTGGTCTGCCGTGACCCGCAGTTGGGTATCGTGTGGCCCTGCTTTGGTCTGTCGTGACCCGCAGTTGAGCATCGTCTAGCCATGCCCTGGTCTGCCGTGACCCGCAGTTGGGCATCGTCTAGCCATGCCCTGGTCTGCCGTGACCCGCAGTTGGGCATCGTCTAGTCCTGCCCTGGCCTGCCGTGACCTGCAGTGGGTATTGTCTAGTTCTGCCCTGGTCTGTCCCGGCTCGCACTCGGATATCATCTAGCCCTGCTCTGGTCTGTCGTGACCCGCAGCTGGATATCGTGTAGCCCTGCCATGGTCTGTCGTGACCCGTAATTGGGTATCGTCTAGCACTGCTCTGGTCTGCCGTAACCCGCAGTTCGTTTTCGCCTATCCCCACCCTGGTCTGCCGTGACCGGTAATTGGGTGTCGTCTGACCCTGCCCTGGTCTGGCGTGGCCCACAGTTGGGTATCGCCAAGCCCTTCCTGGTCTGCCCCGGCCCGCAGTTGAGTGTCGTTTGGTTCTGCTATGGTCTGCCTTGGCCCATAGTTGGATATCGCTCAACCCTGCTCTGATCTGCCCAGGACCTCGGTTAGGTATCGTCTTGCCCTGCTCTGGTCTGTCTTGACGTGCAGCAGCGTGTCACCGCGTGTCACCTGACCGTCCCCTGGTCTGGTCTGTCGTGACCTGCAGCTGCGTGCCGCCGCGTGTCACCTGACCATGCCCTGGTCTGGTCTGTCGTGACCTGCAGCTGCGTGCCGCCGCGTGTCACCTGACCGTGCCCTGGTCTGGTTTGTCGTGACCTGTAACTGCGTGCCGCCGCGTGTCACCTGACCGTGCCCTGGTCTGGTCTGTCGTAACCTGCAGCTGCGTGCCGCCGCGTGTCACCTGACCATGCCCTGGTCTGGTCTGTCGTGACCTGTAGCTGCGTGCCGCCGTATGTCACCTGACCGTGCCCTGGTCTGGTCTGTCGTGACCTGCAGCTGCGTGCCGCCGCGTGTCACCTGACCATGCCCTGGTCTGGTCTGTCGTGACCTGTAGCTGCGTGCCGCCGCGTGTCACCTGACCGTGCCCTGATCTGGTCGGCAGCCGACACCCTGGATGCGCCCGATGCAGCCATCGGCCGTGTCCGCATGACCGGCTTCTCGGGTGACGTGTTCCGGCTGGTGGCGCCGCTGGTCGAGCTGACGCAGAAGGTCGCCGTCTTGGAGGACTCGATCGCTGCCGCCGTCGCTCGGCTCCAGGGTAATGTCACAACCCCAGCTGCCTGCGGGCGGCCGTCTCCCGCTGCGTGGGCCTGGGAGGAGCTGCCGCCGTCGCTCGGCTCCAGGGTAATGTCACGACCCCAGCTGCCTGCGGGCGGCCGTCTCCCGCTGCGTGGGCCTGGGAGGAGCTGTCGCCGCCGCTCGGCTCCAGGGTAATGTCTCGACCCCAGCTGCCTGCGGGCGGCCGTCTACTGCTGCGTGGGCCTGGAAGGAGCTGCCGCCGCCGCTCGGCTCCAGGGTAATGCCACGACCCCAGCTGCCTGCGAGCGGCCGTCTACCGCTGCGTAGGCCTGGGATGTGCTGCTGCTGCGGCGGCGGTGGATTGCGGCGGCGCCCGACTCTGATGGACCGTTCGTTTTCTTCAAACACCAGCACACCGGCGTCTGTTGTCTTTCCTCACGACCTAGCCAGCCACATGGGAATTTGTGATGTCTGGATGGGTGTTGAGCTTGCGACCTTACACTGTGGATTGGGTTTTTCGCGCCTGCGCTGCGGGGCTTTTACTCGCGTGTCTTGTTCATGAGCGTTTGTATCGTGTTGACTGCAAACGTGCGTATCCGTGTGACCCTCAGTGTGACGGCTTAGGCAGCGTGCCAGTGTTCGTTGCTATCGGCAGACGTGGTGCAGATTGACGACTCCGCCGTGGTCATAACGGGCCAGAAGAACGTGGTAGGCGGCGTGTCGGTGTCTGAGCTGGAGGCCACTGGCGCCCTGTACGTCAACACTGTGGGCGGACGCGACTTCAACAACACGTTGGTGGACCTCGTCACGTAAGTGTGTGGTGTGGGGGGGGGGGGGGGGGCAGGGCGGGCTGTCTACTGCAGTGGTGATGGGTATGTCGGATGGGTGTTTGGTAACGGCGCACGCCTCCCGACCGCGCGCCGGTGATCTACCCGTCAGAGGGTGCGGCGCGCAGGACAGAGTGCAGAGCAGCGGCGTGGGGCGTGTGGAGGGACGCTGTATCGCGACAGATGGGCGCAGCACAAGGCCGCTGCTCGTGCCGGCGTCTGTGCCTGTCTGGTGTGCAGGCTATAGCGGCCGCTGCTCGTGCCGGCGTCTGTGTCTGTCCGGTGTGCAGGCTGTAGCGGCTGCTGCCCGTGCCGGCAGACCGGACCCACCGCGCCACATCTGGGGCACCAAGACTGTCGCGTCGGCGCTGAACGTCTCCGGCGAGCTGACGGCCGACCAGCTGAACGGCAGGCCCGTCTCCAACATCGTGACTTTGGACACGATCCAGGAGCTGAGTGGGCCGCTGCAGTATGCAGCTGGCACGCTGTCCATGGATGCGCTGTCCGTGACCGGACTGCTCGGCGGCGTGCGCACCCAGGAGCTGGCGCTGTACGGCGGCTCCGGACCGCTGCCCGGTGCGTCGCCGGCCACTGCTAGCCTATGTGTACGCGAAGATCAGCCGAGCACGCTGCGTTCTCGGCGTATAACGACTGCTTTTTAAGCAGAGGCGATGTGAACTTAGAACGGAGACTTTCTCTGAAAACTTCACGCCATAAGCGTATAATCTGTACTTTTGAGAGCAAAGCATGCGTTGAAGGATTGCTGATTAACAATCATGACATTGCACTCAGCACAACGAACGCGATCCTGCTTTCGAAGAACATGGATAAGACAGTAGTGTTGGCCTTATCCATTCCTATGAAAACCAGGAGAATAGAGGTATAGTTATGTTGATATTTCGGCAGCATGCCTTTTCGAGACAACAGCAGAAGTGCATTCAAGATTGCCTGCCGATGAGCCTACTCGATTTTTAGTTTTTTTTTAAGAGCAAGCCACGGTTTATCCAGGACACCAACATTCATAAGATTAAACAAAGAGCGATTGCCAGCCATTACCAAGATACTGTGCCTACCTAAGAATTAGAACGCCCGGATATACGTGTACATGCAAACTAATTCAAGCAAATAGGCATCACCCATCACGCTTCATTCCAACATGCAAGGGAGCTGAGTTTGAAAGGCATCACACATCGCGCACCAATTATGCATGCAAACGATTTCAATTAAACAGGCATCGCACATTACGCGACAGGCATCACTTACACGTGTAAATGATTTTCGGCTACTACACATCACACATCGAGACATATTTCACGTTTGCATGATTGGCCATGATGAGCCCTGCATGTTAAGATTTGGTCGCCGACTTTTTATAAGAAAAGATTCACTTATTTTCGCTGTCTGGGTGGTCCTGTGCTCTGTAGATGACTCTGAGCTCTTAAAGGGACATAGGGTCCGACTTCCCTGAATCTCAGCTTGAGCGTGCTTCGCCAAAAGCTGGTCACCGCAAGGGATGCTCCCTGTTTTGTTTTTAGCGTCTCGCAGGTGTTCATTATATCTCAGTCGAATAGGGCGCATGGACTTCCCCACAGAGACCATGTCCCCTCCATGCTTTTCACACAGTTTACACTGGATTTCGTAAACCGCGTCTTTTTGCTTGCAAACCCCTTGAAACCCAGAACTGCATAAATTGCATTTGTTGCCACCCGGGCATTCAGGCTTCGCGATGGAGGATTTCACCAGTGACTTTTTATTAAGCTTCTTGTCGTTTTTCCAAGCTACGCGTACGCGCAGTTTTGATTTTTTAACAACGTGTTTGATTTTCCAAAGCAAAGGCTCATCTATATAAGGTAGCTGAACTACCTGAAAGTCTTTCGAAGAACATGCTCATTACCCAAGCAAGCATAGCCAACCCAAAGCCCTGAGATTCGTATGATGGTAGCATTTTGCGTGAATAATTTTATAATTCTGCCTCTTGCCGCGCCACAGGAAAGCATTCTGCTATCCTTGGGATGGATAGATGTGTGTTGATTAAGTGTTTTTCCCCACAGCTTCCGATGTTTGCAAAGTTCCTGATTCATTTTCGGTCGCATCGTTTGTTTGCCTTGCTCAAACTTCCAGTGCCACCGAACGCCGCACTTTGACCGTGTAGCACACGTGCGTGACCTAGCAGGGGCCGACTGTTCTTGCAGTGCCCGTCTCGGTCGACACGCTCTCCACCACCAACTTGAGCGTGGGTCTCCTGAACGGACAGCAGGCCGAGGATCTGTTCTCCGGCGTGCTGCTCTCCACGGGCGGCACGTTCACGCAGTCGGTCACCTTCGAGGGCGACGTCCACCTGCAGAATGTCCAGATCACGGGTATGTCACGTTGCAACTCCGTAGTCAGAGGCTAAGTTTTGCTGCTATGTTTACGCCTTGTAAATTAGTTACGCATGGTGACGAGGGCTAGATGTCCAGAGAATATGGCCTGATAAGACAAATGCGTTTGACCCACGCATTCCGTATTTGTTTGTGTGGCCCTTCCGACCAAACTGTAACTACTTTAACATTACTTGTGTTGCCTTTGCTGAATGGCTACTAACCGTCTGAGCACGGTCACATTTTTATATTGGGATTGTTGGCAACTATTGAGGAGTAAATCATTCCTCATCTCATCAATCTACCTCTCGTCAACATCTCTGAATTTCTGTCATAGGGACATATAGCAAGGCATCGCCCTTTCTTACACGCCACCGGCATTCAGGTCTGCGGTGCACGTAACCTCTTTCCATCCGTGGGCGGTAAGCCAGAATGCTTGCGTATGGGGTTCGAACGGTGGCTGGCTGCGTGCCAGCCCAGCGCTGGCGCCTGTCACACGCTCCTGACCGGTCTGCCGACCTCCAGGGACGCTGAACGGCGAGCAAGTGGCCGACCTGCTGGCTTCGGTCGTCTGGACGGACGCCGCCCAGTCACTGGACGTGCTGCGGCTGCAGAATGCCGTCGTCGCCGGCAGCCTCAGCCCGCAGGCAGTCAACGGCCAGCCGTTTCCGGGGGATCGATACGTGACGCCCAGTGGCGTGCACGCCATCACCGGCGCCAAGACGCTGAGCCGCGTCACGGTGGCGCGCCTGGCTGCCGGGCGGCTGGACGGCCTGGCGCCGACCCAGCTGGTGACGCTCGACACCAGTCAGACGCTGGAGCGGCTGCGGCTGGACGCGGCGCATGTGCTCGGCCGGCTCACGGTTGGCGGAAGGGTGGACGGCGTGCGGCTGGCACCCGGCTGGCTCGACCACCTGCTGAGGAACGGCACGCAGACGCTCAACACCACCCTGGTGTTCTCTGGCTCGGTGACGCAGCTGGGCGACCTCACCGCCGCCGACCTCGACGGTGGCCGGCTAGAGCGGCTGCTGACCCGGCTGGTGTCGCAGCCGCCGCCCGGCCAGCCGGCTAGCGTCGGCGGTCGCAAGCACTTGGCGGCGTCGGTGGCTGCCGGCGCTGTGACCGTACGAGGCATGGTGAATGGCGACAACCCGGCCGACTGGCTGACGCTCTCCTCCGACCAGCTGGTGTCCGGGCTGCTGACGCTGGCGCAGGCCGGATTCTTCTCCAACCTGATAGTGGCTGGCCAAGTGGACAGCGTCGACTTCGCACTGCTCTCGCAGGACGCCATTTACACCACCGCCGAGCACCAGCAGCTGCTGTTGGGTGTGAAGGCGTTCTCCGACGCCGTGATGGTGCCGCAACTGCAGCTTGAGGGCGCACTAAACGGCCGACAGCCGGCCGAGCTACTGTGGACGCGCGGCGACCAGACCGTCTCCGGCACGCACACCTACCTCGGCGCCATGCGCGCCGGCGGACTGCACGCGCGCGGCCAGCTCGCCGTGCCCGACGGCGCGCGCGTCGGCGGCCAAGACTTCTCTGACCTGCTGGCGCTGGCGCAGGCGGCGGCGGCCGACGGGAGCCGCACGGAGGTGCTGGTGTTTGACAGGCTGGAGGTGCGCGGCAGCACCACCATCGACTGGATCGGCGAGCACGACCTGCTGCAGCTGACCGACGGTGTGCTGCGCGCCGGCGGCGGCCTCGTCTCCGGCCGCTGGCACTTCCAGTCGCTGCGCGTGAATGGCTCGGTAACGTCGGCTGAGGGCGCCGGCGGCTGGCAGCTGAGCGGGCTGCGACAGCGGTTGGTCAGTCTGACCGGCGTCACCACCGTCGGCGCGCCGCTGGCATTCGAGCAACTGCTGGTGACTGGAGCGGCGGTCCAAGGCCGGCTCTGGTTGGGCGGCCTGCCCTGGCAGCAGGTGCTGTTCGGGCTGGCACAGCGCGGAGACGACATTGTCATTAACGGTAAGCGTGGCCACGCGCAGTAGTGGCTGGGCTCAGGCGGCCAGGTGACTGCGCCAGAGACATTTGTATCTCGTCAAGCTGCTTGTTTGGTGCTGACTGGTTTGGTTTGGTTTGGTTTGTTTGTTTGTTTGTTTGTTTGTTGTTTGTGGTTTGTTTGGTTGTTTGACTGGTTTGGTTCTGTCAACTGCTGACTAGGAGTGAAGAGCACGAGTCGACTGTTCGCGCCGCTGGCACGGCCTTATCAGCCCCACACCTAATTTGAGGGGAGAGTGAATGGCCGAGGGCGCTACGTTTACCATCCAGTGCTGTAGATACATGGTGCTGCCGTTCTGGGGGACATGTTCCAGCATAGGGCGTGTGCTTGTCATTCCTATCCGCCGCTGCACCTCAAGTTCTCGTAACTAAGGCACCCACTTGTCTTCCTTTGCCCCTAAGTAACGGTTAAGCTGTACATATTGGTGTCACGCGACGCGTCCGCGGCTATGCCATGCTCTCGCCGTCGGGGGCCGCGGCTCCATGCTCATCGACTCTGTGGCTGGCAGCCACCAAGACTTTCACCGCCGGCCTGCACGTGGTTGCCGGCATCCACGCGGCGTCGTTGCCGCTGCAGAACGCGCTGCTGGTGGGCGCCGACCAGGTCGTCTCTGGGACCGCCTTCTTCCACAATGACGTCACTGTTCACGCCAGCCTCATCTCTCAGCAGCCAGTTAACGGCGAATATGGTGTCACGCAGCTGTCGTCTCTGTTCGTCACCGATCCGGACAACGTGACCGTGACCGGCGACCTGGTGATCTGGGTGAGACTCTGGTGGCTGACTGCGCGTGACCGTAACCGCGACCGTGACCGTGACCGGCGACCTGGTGCTCTGGGTGAGGCTCTCCGGCGGCTGTCTGCGCGTGACCGCGACCGTGACCGGCGATCTGGTGACCTGAATGAAACTGGCGGCCGGCTGCGCGCAGAAGGCGGCCGGCTGCCGCGCTCATACGAGCTCGTTTAGGGGTGAGGCTGCTGTAGTCTAAGCCTCCGCGCTGCTGCATTCTGGGTAGGCAACGCTGTGACGTCATCATTTGACTAAATTGCATGGCACCAACGTTACAGCGGGTGAAAACGCCGTTCTTTGCGGGCTGGTATAAACATAAATATTTCCATAAACCGGATTTGTTTTCGACCTAGCACATTAAATGATGCATTTTCTACTGGGAGGTGGCATTGGTTTTCTCCAGACCTACCAAATTATCGCTGGAATGCGTTTCCAACCTGCTCCACCAGCGATAAGGGGTGCCCCACTCGCCAAGGACTTACTCCCGAAGACATCTGGCTGGAAATGCTTAGAAGCAGTCTATGTAAAAAGGACAACATACAACAACAGCAACAACATAGGGTGGGGATGAGACACAGTGAGCCAGACGGGCTCGTACCACCTTGGGACGCGCAATGAGAACTTAGAATGTGCATCCTGTACCCTTAGGAGGGGCGTTGCCAGGGTGGATGCAGGATTGGCCTGCCCTTAAGGGATAATGAATGGTGAGCCTCGGGAGGCGGAAATGCAGCACGCACCTTTTAGTTCAAGATAGTCGATTTTCCCGTTAATGCGGACGATTTCTATAGAGTTTAACAATTTTTGCTCGTCAAATGGTCGTGGCATATATGTATGCTCGGAAATAGTCTTGGGGATATCATAGGGCATTCGGGGTATATCCTCTGCGCACCTTTTTCACCTAACCTATCCAAAATTATCGATCTGCAAGTTAACCAACGCTCAAGGAGGTCATAGTGCGGAAAAAGCGCACTTCTTAACACCTGCCTCCTCACTTTATCTTATTTTCACACTTCACTCCACATAGGTACTGCGGTGCGAAGACAAATGGACAATCGTTGCCTATTAAATTGATATGAATTCGACATAAATGTTGCGATATGTTATGAAAATTTGATATGAATATTGCATATCGTAAGTATTTATTCAAATGTAAATATTCGCTTCACAAAAAGGCAAAACAAAGATTCCGGCGCGTTGACTACGTCGAGTATGGCGTGGTTGCTGCAGCTGGATGATGTGTTCTAGTAGGATCTATTTTTGGAAGCAGATCCCAATATTGATTTGTCTTTGCAATGTTTGAAATTTAAAATGTAGCACATTCATACACATAGCATGTTAATAAGCATTTAGAAAGTATTGACGCTTAGTTCATTGGCGAAATCTCCGTTTTTAGTCATATTACTAGTACCTACCAACTTTTCATAGTATCAACCAAAATTCATACCACAGGCTACCCAAACGTAAGTCCCGTCGTGACGTCACGTCTGCGTAGCCTTCTACCCTGTAAGGCTGCGCAAACGTGACGCCTTCTACTCTGGAAGTCTTGCTATAGTCAGCATTCATCTCCCACACCACCGTAGCTTCGTCTTAGGCTGCTGCTTTTAAGCGCATGAGAGTCAGCATTGAAATGCATGACTGAACCTACTCGTGTCCTCCCACCGGCAACTTTGTGATGGATTGGGTATTCCGTGTCCTGTACTTACGCGTTTGGAGCACAGTGTGTGGCCAAATGCTTGCCGGTCCATGGTGCTGCATTCTATTTAGCACGAGTAGCTTGCTTCCTCGTGTGCTCGTTGTGTGCGATCTCGGGCCAGCCGCCTAACTTGCGGCGGTCGGCGTCAGGGCGCCAGCTCAATATCTGAGGTGAGCCTGTCGGGCCTGCTGGGCGGCCGGCCGGTGGCCGCAACGCTGGCCGCCGCCGTGCCTCTGTCGGCGGCCGGCGCCAGCTCGCTGTCCGGCCGGCTGACGTTCACGGACGCGGTACGAGCCACCACGCTCCACCTGCGCGACGGCCGGCTCAACGGACGCCACCTGGCCGTCTACCTGGCCACAGTGCGGCTCACGACGGACCACCAGTGGCTGGCGGGTCCGGTGGTGGCCGGCGCGGTGACGCTGCCCGACGCCACCGTGCGCCACCTGACCGTGCGCGGCCTACTGGACGGCCTCAACTGCACCGGGCTGCTCGAGGTGAGACGCATGGCGCGCCCCACGCCGCCAGCACGCTCCAGTGTCGCCGTGGTGCGCATGCTGTGCTGCTCCTCGCCCCGTCTGACCGCCTGCCGCTCTGCTCCTCGCCCCGTCTGACCGCCTGCCGCGCTGTTCATCGCCCCGTCTGACCGCCTGCCGCGCTGCTCATCGCCCCGTCTGACCGCCTGCCGCGCTGCTCATCGCCCCGTCTGACCGCCTGCCGCGCTGCTCCTCGCCATGTCTGACCGCCTGCCGCGCTGCTCCTCGGCATGTCTGACCGCCTGCCGCGCTGCTCCTCGCCATGTCTGACCGCCTGCCGCGCTGCTCCTCGCCATGTCTGACCGCCTGCCGCGCTGCTCCTCGCCATGTCTGACCGCCTGCCGCGCTGCTCCTCGCCATGTCTGACCGCCTGCTGCGCGCCGTCGCAGCGTGTTATTCTGCTGGACGGCGACTACGAGTTGTCCGGCCTGTGGAGACTGGCCGGCTTGGCGGTGGCCGGTGATCTGCGCGTGCTCTCGCTCAACGGCCAGCAGCCGGCCGCCCTGCTACGGCTGGACGGCGCCGTCACTCTGTACCACCTCAACGTCGTGGGAGACGTGCACGCACCCGGCATCACCAACGGCTCGCTGTCCACCACGCTGAATGGGATCGCCCTCGGGCGGGAGTTCAGCGCTCTGTTTCCGGTGAGCGCCGACCGGCGGAGGACGCACGGGCGCTCTGTTTCCGGTGAGGGTCGACCGGCGGAGGACGCACGGGCGCTCTGTTTCCGGTGAGGGCCGACCGGCGGAGGACGCACGAGCACGCTGTTCCCGGTGAGGGCCGACCGGTGGAGGACGCACGAGCGCGCTGTTCCCGGTGAGGGCCGACCGGTGGAGGACGCACGAGCGCTCTGCTGATGACCGAGCAGCTGAGCCGTCCCGCGTGGTGTGCAGCACCCCATCCGATGCACTTGCCGTTCCATGTCGAAGGTGGGTGGGTTTAAATGTGCGCTAGAAGACGCCGCGTTGAGGTTCGAACCAGAGGTGGCTTAGTGACTAACCCCACTACGAACGGTGAATCGTGGTGGGCGTCGGGTTGGCTCGGAAGAAGCTGTTGCGAGACTTTGTATGGAACCCACCATTTGTCTGTCCTGGTGCATGTTTTTGGGCATTGTCCATAGTTCTCCTGGCCATTGCATACGGTGCAAATTCAGTGATCGCTAAGGCATTGGCCGGAGAGGTGTCACCGCTTCGGTTCCTGTCCAGAACGTCGTGCCCCGTGCCCTCAGCTGCACCACACGAGGCGGCAGATACACCCGGGTGGGCTCATCTTCACCGGTCACGTGGTGTTCAACGGCAACCTAGCTCTGGCTGGGCCGCTCAATGACTTCAACGTGTCCGACGTGATCGTGCTAGGCAACGCCAACACCATTGTCGGTGAGCCACCCGGGAGGCCGGCACGCTGCTGCCGTGTGACGACGTCATAGCTCTGGAGTTTCCAGCTTGTCTTGCGAGTCTGTGTGTAAGGTGTTTTGCCACAATTAGGGATTACGTGCGCAGCTTGGTGTTCGTGATGGTTGTGTTTGTATGATACCTGTTTTCTGTCGTTCATGACAAAGCAAAAGGATATGCAAGCGTACCTGTGCCCAGCGGTTTTTTTTTTGTAAGGTCCGATAGCTTTCAGAATGGTGGACTTTTCAGTTTAAACTGCTATGGGTTTTTCAAAAGAGTTTTTCAAAGAACCAGCCATACTTTGTGATATTTCGAAGTTCTTGTCTTTGTTTTTGACGAGTTTCGAGAAGTTCTAGCCCTATGTTTTGCCCACCGCCAGTTGTTGGTCGTCCTGATACACCACGCTCAGCGTGGGTGCCACACACGCCACGTTTGCGCGCGCAGGTGTGTTGATGTGGCGCACGCTGATGGTTGTGTGGCTGAACGTGGCGCCGGTGGCAGGGTCCTTCCAGTTCAGCGGCGCTGTGACGGCGGACGCGGTGGTGCTGGACGGCACGGACATGGACCGATGCGCCGCCACGGCCGTGTACCCCGACCAGAACGTGACTCTGCATGGCCACTACCTGCTCACTTCGGTGGGGACCTCCAGAGCGGAGCCTTGGACTCCGGTCACCAAGTCTCCCGTGCTGACGTCTCTACCCGGGTCGTGGATCGGACTCCGGTCGCCGAGTCTCCCGCACTGACGTCTCTACCCGGGTGGTGGAGCAGGGGGAGGGGAGGCCTTCTCTGCTATTGGCCGATTGATTGCGAAGCTGCGATTTATGGTCACGAATCATGCAGATGCGTCATCACTGGGACAGGTTACAATGTATTTCCTGACCGTCATTCCTGCCAGTCCTGACCTGCCTTACCGTCATGAAGGATGATGTCATGATGATGATGGATAGGGCTCCATGAAGGCCCTATCTTTGCCGTGCTGCCGCGCTGTGTGGCCGGGAGGCTATGATGAGACCGTCTCCACTGGGCGTGTGTCACCGACAGGTGGGCTTGGACGGCTCCAGTATCGACCAGACGCTTGACATGGACGACTCGCGGGCAAATGTCACCGCTCTGCTGGGTCAGTGTGCCCGACAGGTTACAGAATTCAACGTGAGTGGCGTGCCGTTTGCCCGGCCAGGCGTCCGAGGGGACGCGCCGGCGAGATGTGCGACGAGATGACCAGAAATGCGCCGAGCCGTTGTTGGGACCAAGCGCCTGAGTAACGGTTGATGCGATTACAGATGTTATACATAAGCTTGACTAATGAATATCAAGCCGTCGATACTTGAGGAAGTCTCGATTGCTGCACTGGAGGGAAGGCCAGCTGATGCCCCATCAAACTAGGTCTCATGAACCGGTGGCGTATCATGTCGTGACCTCCTGATCCGCCTCAGCTGTGTCGTTTGCTCCCCAGAGCTACTTCAGCTCACAGTGTCGGGCGATGCTCGACCTCTACGACGACATGCGCTCGACCTATTACGCCCTGCGCTACTTCGACCTGGTCCAGGAGCTGACCTGGCCCGACATGGAGCGTGTGCTCAGCTCGGTAGTGGTGGAGGTGGGTGTGCGCCGGTCCGAGCGTCGCCGGGCGGGTCCTGAGGGGAGCAGGGGAGCGGGTCGGACAGAGGCCACCTGCTGCCAGATCGTGGAAGCCGATGTCGTGACGGGCCTGTCGTGTCATCCCAGCTTCCCCCGCAGCTGGCTCAGACTGCCGCTTGGCTGCAGAAATACCGCTGAGTGGGGAGGCGTGAGAACCTGAGCGAGTCTCTTCGGCCCTGGCGGATCCCCACCATGGCCGGTTGGTGCGCCGTCAGCGGCCGCGGTCTTGGCGGGGTCTCTTCTGACCGCTGCCATGCCGCTTTGCCGCAGAAGGCGGATAGCCTCCACGTGGTGGTGACGTACGTGCGTCGCTCGAGTGGCTGTCCAGAGACGCGGCTGCTTCAGTGGCGTGAGGACATCACCCAGCTGCGGCCCGTCGGCGCGGCGCCGCTGGCCACCGGCGCCGTGCGACAGTGGCGCCACCTGCGGCTGGCCGGCCGCCACGTGCTGGTGTCTGCGGCCGGGCCGGCGCCACAAGGCTGCCCGAGCCTGCTATCGGCCATTTGGCTCTGGAGCGGTGACACTCTGCAGGTTGGTGACGTCTCGCCGGCCAGCGCGCGTTCTCTGGATGCGTGATACTCGCCAGGTCTGTGCTGTACCCTCGGGGTTTCCTCGGGCACTAGCGCTCCCACCTGAGTATGGGCCTCGCAGTGTTCCCCATGCTGGTATTGTGCTTTAGGATCTCTGGCGGCGAGCCACCAGACTGTGGTGTCTCGGCGCGTGTTTGCGCGTCAGAAGCCTGATGTCCATTGTGTTGCCGGCCAGCTGATCCAGAGTCTGCAGGCGTCAGCCACCCAGGTGCTGTACACCGAGGCCCCGCTGGGCCTAGCGACGCTGCTGCTGCTGGACCCTGCCGGACACTCTCTCTGGCGCCTCACGTACCACTCCGACTCTGGCACCTTCGTGGGTGGACCTGAACCTACTCAGGCCGGTACGAACTTGACACGGCGTTTCTTTCGGCTGACGTGACATCGAAAGTCATTCCAGGCAGGTATAGAGACGCGCAACCGTCCTAGGCTGCTAATAACTACACAAACGTGTGGCCACCGGAAGGGGTCGATGCGCACGCCTCCCCTCGCTCCCAATATTTTAATCCTTAAAGATATGTGGCTTGCGCGGGTGGCGGGCGGCCACCGAAGACGCCGCGGAACGGGCGCGGCGGACTGACATTGTTAGAGTAACGGAGCCATACACCGTGCATCATAAGGTATAGATCACTCTCGTTACTACGCAGGATTAAGTAAGAAACACGCCTGTTTAGGCTTTATGCCGCTACATGACATGTTCTCATGCGTATGAGCATGTAAAGCTGAAAAGTTCAGTTACTGGAAATTTGACCGACCCGGTATGATGGGATCAATGAATGACCTGACAGCATAAAACTTATTACCAACCACCAGATCCCGCATAGACCAATTAACTCGCGTTTTCCACCCAGCCGTATATTTTTCGGTTTGGAAATCGCAGGGCTCGTATACCCCCCCCCCCCCCCCCGCCTATCAGCCCGTGTTATGAAACACAGCGGAGCAAGACGGGGGTTAAGGCGCCCCTGTTCTAGCCTTGGTGACTGAATAGACCCGAAGCTTTCCTCGGTCCGGTCCGAGACTATCTGTGTTCCTATTCCGCCATCACCTCTATTGTTTGGTTTGCCCTGGCCCGATTGGGCCCTGACGCTCCCTTGCCCCGGTCTCCGGCCCCTCCGTTTCTCCCTCCGCCACCTCCGGTCCCTTCATCTCTCCCTCAGAGATATGCGACCCTCCGTCTCTCCTTCGACATGTCTGTCCTCCATCTCTCCCTTTGACATATGTGATCCCTCAGTCTCCCTGTCAACATGTCCGCCCTCCGCCCCTCCCTCTGGAGTTTTGATCTTTCGGCCCCTTTCGGTTCGGCCTCCTTCCCTCCCACGCCGGCTGACGCCGTCTGCCGTCCGCCAGAGCTGGTGGCGGCGCACCAGCTGCCGGACGGCTCGCAGCTGCTGCTCTCGGCCGAGGACAGCACGGTAGTGGTGCGGCACGAGACGCGCCACCAAGACGTGCAGCACGAGCAGACGCTGGGTGCGCTCACGGCCACCGCATTATACACCTACACCCTGCGCGACCGAGTCCTAATGGCCGTCGGCGACGGGGGCTGGAGCTCGCTGCTCAACAGTCCGCAAGGGGTCAAGGTGAGGCCACCCGCTGCCCAATCATGTATACCATCTCAGACTAGCCAGAGGCTACACGTCAAACCATTGTCATCGCCTTGACACGGCCACTGCGCCGGGGACTGTCGCGGGCAGAAATATAACCATTCTCAGTTTGCGCCCCGGTTACCATGCCGCCCTCATTGTAGTGTTTTCTTTGTGTCGCTGGAAAAGCCAATATCGGAAATTGCGAGAGGTCGTCTCGGGTCTCGCACTGCGGGTGGATGTTATCGGTAACTGAGGTTCCGCGCGGCAGATATTCGAATACTTCGGCAACGGGACGCACCGTTGTGTGCCGGTGCAGCACCTGGGCGCCGTCAGTCCGGCGGACATGATGTTACTAGCGGCCGGCAGTCTGCCCGACCTCTTCCTGGCCGTGGTCGAGCGCGACTGTGGCCTGCGTCTTTTCATCGACAAAGGTGAGCCACCCGCCACCACAACCGTGACCCCGACGACTCGACGTCAGTCTGGCCCGGGCGGTGGGCAGGGCTGCACAGGATAGTGTAAGCAAGTACAGTGCAGTGCAGTGCAACGTAGTACATTGCAGTGCGGTGTACTATAGTACAACAGAGCAAGGTTGGTTTCGGTCTAATTTGTCTGGAGTTGACCTCGTCTATGTAGAACTACCTGCACCTGTATATATCTCGCTGATCCAAAAGTCGCAAGAATGGTCAGGACGGTGGAATGGAATGACTTTTGGTCTGGGTGATGCTTTGTTTATTGCGATAGAACTGAACGACTGACTCGGGGCGCAACTCGAATCTGGAAAAGCCCAGATTTTTGCCTGATCCGGATTTTGGCTGTGCGATATTAGGAGTGAGGAAGTGGGCAGTGACATCAGTAAGCCCCTCGCCCCACTTTTCAGGAAACTAAACCACGGGTTCAACCTGACGTCAGTCTGAGGCCTAGCCGACATGCGTGCACAGCCACATTTCCGCCTGTAGCTCTGGTGGGGGTCGACGACCCGTCCACAACTCATGCCCGTGTCAGACTAGTGTATACGTGGCGCGCACCACGGACCAGTGCTCAGGCGTGTGAGTGTGGTCGGGCTGTGACGGGGCGCGACCCAGCCTCCCGGCGAGCCAGCCGCTCAGCGCACGCGCTCGCGTGTTGTGCCGCAGGCGAGGCCGGCTTCGTGGAGTTCCAGCGGCTGGCGGTGCCGGGTGCCACCGCCGTCAGCCTCCTGTTCCCGGCCGACGAGTCGCCTCCGCATCTGCTGGTGACGGCTGGCGACCGCCTCGTGCTGCTCGCCGCGCACATGGTCGGCGCCCGGGTAACGCCAGAGGACACGGACTGCGCGCCGCGCCTGCCCCAGCCCTCCTTTGGTCTGTAGTCGACGCCGCGCCTACCTCATCTTCCAGGCCGGAGGCTGCCGATGCACGGTACGCCGACCTGGGACACGCCGCCCGGGTCCGGCAAAGCCGGGCTGTCGGCCCGGACACCGAAGAGACCGGCATCCACGCGGCTGAGATTCCGTGCGCCCGCATACTCTGACGCCCTCTGTTCTCTGGACGTGTATTGTATATTTGATCGAATATAAAATTGCCTCCTTCGTGCTCTGTCCGTGAAATTTGCTCGGCAGCGTTCGACACGCGCGGCGCCAGATGAGCCGTTCCGCAGCGACGGCGAGGGAGCAGCCAGTCTCGTGCTCGAGGTGGCCATCATGACTTTGGAACGTTCTGACCATGGTTCACATGGATCAGGTATTACATGCTATCTCAATGGTCTCGCAGGCTCCAAATAGTGTGATAGTAACCGTAAAGAAACCCGGCAGACGGCCAAGGACCGAGTATGGACAGTTCTGACACATTCGGATGATATAAACCACGCTAATCGACCATAACGGACAACTGTGCAGTCTGAGTCGGATCATCCCGACACTGAGTACAAGAGGTGGCCGGTACGTACATAGGCTACGGAGTAGAGTCGCATGTGAAAGCCAGTAAAATTCCATCTACCACCGCAGTCGCTCAGCGCACGAGACTTGCTTAGCAGAGGCTGACAGGGGGCGATATCCACTTGACAATCCACTCAGAACTAAACCCAGACGTGATGTTGCTGGGGTCTAAATGTGTATGATCACGGGGCCTGAATGTGTACCAGGACCAATGCATATCACAACTATACCTCTGGCGTCATGGTCAAAACAGGCATAAAATGCCATCCCTATAAGGCATGGTGCTAATCAACACGTGCTATTATTAGGCCTTGTCACGCAGTCGGCGCAGCGAATTACGGCCACCGGTGCTGCTGCCTGCCAGGAAGCCTTGTAAGTCCCGCGGATATGGCAGGCCTGTGGCCCGACGGCTTTGAAGTGCGCACCAGACGCCCGCCGGCGGGCGTCGCTAGTTGGTCGACAGCTGCGCGACGCGACGCGTGACACCCTCCAGCTGGTCGTCGCTGTCGCGCCGCTCCTGCCGCTGGTCGTGCTGTTGCTGTTGCTGCTGCTGCTGCTGCCGGCCCGGCGCAGCGCCGTCCCCGCCGTCCTGCTTCCGAAGCCACGCCTTGGCCGTCTCCGGCTGAAACGGCCCAGCTTCTTCTCAGCGTCTCAGCGGGCGACGTGACCGCCGGACTCGCCGCGGTACGACTTACACGTGACGCCGACGGCCAGCGGCCCGACACATCTCTGTGGCAGCCGCTACGGCAGTCATGGCACATTGCATCCGACCTCAATACCGCAAGTTTGTCAGCTATTCAGTGCATTTGCGAGGAGCATTATTCACGTAAATAAGACAGCAGTAATAGCCGTATTCCTCCGAAAGAAAAACAGGAGAAAACTACACGCGCCCAGCCATACGCGTAGTTGTCGCTCCACCTCTATCGTTTGCACGTCAGTTCTATGGCTCATACAAACAGGCCTGCTTCCGTGATTCTGCTGGAAGAATGCTCCAGCGCATCAGCTGGCGTGTTATGAGATCACAGCGCCGCGGCCTCCACCTCGCGCACCCCTCGAACGAATCGCGGCTACCAGCGTGGCCAGGGGCATGTCAGCACTCACCAACCAAAACCAGGTCGACTTTCGCTTGTACTTCCACCTGACCAAGCACTGCGTGTTGGACCACGGCCAGATGACGTGTAGGTGGATGTGGTACACGGATACCATGGGAGGCACGTGGAAGCCCACCCTGCGGGCGGCACGCGACGCGCTGTCAGTCGTCTACTCACGGAGGCGAACCAGAGGCCAGGCCGGAAAATGAGCCGCGACGTCCACGCCATCTGGCTGGCAGGGTGGATGGCGTGCAGGTGAAGGTGCGACACCAGGTGGAAAGGCGGCCAGTGGAAGCCGAACCTGGCCAGCGGAGGCAGTGCCAGGGTCAGCAAGGGGGGGGGGCCAGCGGCTCATGCACACACCATGTGGAACAGCACCTGAAGGCAATAACAGGTCTACAGACACCTGTAGGTGCAGGTAATGAACTGTATTACATGTTTCATTAGTAGGTATGATATGGTATCTGGAAAACAGATGTAGAACATGCAGGAGAGCTCTGCAAGAAGGCTACTGCTGACTCACCTGACATCTCCAAGATCAGCATCCTCCTTCTGCAGCAAAGTTGTTGCCACATGGACCAAGCCATCCACTGTAATGTCATGATGTAATGAAACATTGCTGGGAATGTTCCATGGTGCACTTTGTTTTGTATGGCATGTAGCATGGATACCATGCCTTTTCTATCAGAAATTTTTTACTCCAATGAGTATGAAGATTAAATTCCTTTCATTTACCTGGCCATAGCAAATAATCCAAAATCTGAGTGACTAGATTGCTCTTATAATTGTCACTTAAGTAATCATTGTTACATTGACAGATACAATGTGCTCTCACCTTCCTATCCAGTATTTAGTATATTCTGACAAATATTGATAAACAAGATTCTCTGGCATCCAAAGAGTGGTGATTCACATCTTTTTGCAATATAAAACAGTGTCCTCAAGCCCACCAGTAATGGGCAAGAACTAACCTACTTCTGCTCTGCCACGTAGACATGTGACATCACGCACATGCTCATTTGTGATGACTAAAAGGTGGTTGGTTGAAGCAGGCCTCCTGTCCCTGAACACTGTATAGGTGTCATCCTGCAAAAACCAGAAACATGCATCCATAAGCATCTCTGGGGTCAATGCTAGGGTCTGCAATCTCTTTGCAGATGTGCTTCTGTCCTCCATATGCACACAAAACAACTTCAATATCTGCAATGCCAGATATTGGAAGGTCTAAGCCATCTTGAATGCTTGAAGCTAGAATGCCAAAAACATCTGCTGTTTTACATGTGCACATGGGAATGATAATCCCTGGATGTTGTGCCATCATGGCTTTCCACAAAATTCAACATTAACCCTATAGCAACTGATGGAAAGAACAACTTCAAAATTGGTTCTGGCATCCACACTTTCAGATGATTCACCTGCAATTCCCTGCAAAAATAAAAAATCATGTTTTGCCTGGCTTTGTCCTCTTAAAACTTTAAATATCATATTGTTCATCAAATTCTAAGGCTGACTGCATGCAGAAGTCACCACCTGTCATTGTGGGAATGCAATGTGGGAACAAGAATGGGAGCCAGTGATCTGCTGCTCATTTTTTCAGTTTCGTTTGGCGAACAAAGTTCATTTACACTGGCATGTACATGCACATGGATGCTTCTGTTGTCATGGATGGCACCTACCCTGTATAAAATCGGGTTTCGTTCTAGGCCATCGGCGATGCGACAGAAGATGCATGCGAGCCGACGACTGGATTGCGATTGCATCTTCGTCAATTAAGTAAAAATATTTAAATGTTGAAATGGTTGCTTATGTTCCCGGAGTAGGATAACAAAAACCAAGAAATGATGACGTGATTCTGCTAGACTGGAATCCTCGCGGCGGCCCCCTCCCCAACTTCTCCAACCAGCCACCACCCCCTGCCCACCACCAGTACCCTGACCGGCGATCCTGCGACTGCTCGTTAAGAGTGCGGTCCACGAATGCCGTAGATTAAAGTAAGTCTACTAGAGAGAGCTACGCAGACGTGACGTGACCATGAAACCAAATTTTCGTTACCTGCCGCATGGTTTTTGGTTGATACTACTAAAAGGCTGGTAGATACTAGTGACATGATTTAAAACGGTGATTTCGTCCTCGAAATGGATGACAGCGCGGTTCTACAGCTTCATTTTAATGTTACAATAATAAATTTAATAATTTTGCATTTCAAGCCTGCTAAATACAACCAGATACCAGGATCTGACTGCAAAAATAAATCCTACCAAACCTTATTTTCTAGCTGTAGCACCCACGCCATATTCGTCGAGGCCAATTCGCGTAAATATATATATATATATATATATATATATATATATATATATATATATGTAAATCACTTTTGAGAAAGGAAAATCAAAAGGTAAATGAATAAATATCGTAGGTAATATTTAGATTGAATTTCGTAATGAGCAATGATAACGCACACATTCTTGCAATGCAGTACTTATATAGAGCGGAATGTGAAAATAAAGTAATGTGAAGAAGGCAGGTGCCAAGAATTTCGCTGTTGCTGTGCTATGATCTTCCTAGGTGTCGGTTAACTTGCAAATCTATAATGTTAGATGGGTTAGATAAAGATGGTCGACAGGGCAATGCACCCACCGGCCTAAAATACCCCTATTATACTATTTCGGAGTTGAGATATGGGCCTCGAATCTTTGATTGGCAGAAATTGCAAAACATACCAGAAATCGGCCCACTTTGCGGGAAAGTTATGCTATCTTGAACTGAAATGGCATGTGCTGTATTTAAGCTCCCGGGGTTCACCACTCACTAACCCCATATGGGCAGACCAGCCCTGCATCCACCCTGACCATGCCCTCACTAAGGCTACAGAATGTGCATTCCAACTTCTCAATGCGCACCCCAGGGTGCTGCGAGCCCGTCTGGCTCGCTGTATCTCATTTCCAACATATACTGTTGTTTTTGCACGTTGTTCTCTTTTACACAGACTGTTTTTAAGCACTTCCGGCTAGAGTTCTTCGGGATAAATCGCTGGTGAATGGGTAACCTCATCTGTCTGTGGGTGTAGACGGCGTCACCCATAGGCGGCGGCACCTCCGTAGACCGCGTCACCAGCGTAGGTGGCGTCATGAAATTTGTAGGCGGCGCCACTGAAAATGCCCCTGCCGCCCCATCCGCTAAATGTCACCGTGCTCTATGCAGTATCAGATTTCACTTGGAATTTGTCACGTCAAGTCCGCCAGCTGTACCTGCACTTTTTTCCTACCGTTTAAATTATTTATTCACGCCGACAGAAATAGTTTCACCTCGTGAAGACCTTTCATATGGCGAATTGTTTCACAATGTCTTATATGCCTTTCGTCAGCGCCAACATATAAGTTCTGAAAACATCCGCTCTCTCTCTCTCTCTCTCTCTCTCTCTCTCTCTCTCTCTCTCTCTCTCTCTCTCTCTCTCTCTCTCTCTCTCTCTCTCTCTCTCTCTCTCTCTCTCTCTCTCTCTCTCTCTCTCTCTCTCTCTCTCTCTCTCTCTCTCTCTCACGCCGCGACATGCGCATGAGGCGGTCGGGCCGCTCGCCGCTCTAGTGACTGTCCAAGAAACCTTTGTTGTGAAGATACTTGTTGTATCGTAGCCTCGTGTCGCATCGTAGTCGTAGTTCATGGGCGCACCGCGAGTGGCGTCACTGTCGGGCGTTGCGAGTCAGTCGGCCCGGAGCCGCCGTGCCGCGCGGTTGGTCGTTCGTAGTTTGTAAACTGAACTCACGTTAACGTTAATAAACGGTTTGGAGGCACAACAACTTGGCGACGAGAAAGGGATTTTAAAGTAGGGACAAGTGCAAGTGACGCGCGGACCGGCAGGACGTGTGGAACTGCGAGGACTGGCAGGGCACGTGGAGCTGAGGACCGGCAGGACGTGTGGGACTGCGAGGACTGGCAGGGCACGTGGAGCTGAGGACCGGCAGGACGTGTGGGACTGCGAGGACTGGCAGGGCACGTGGAGCTGAGGACTGGCAGGGCACGTGGAGCTGAGGGCTGGCAGGGCACGTGGAGCTGAGGACTGGCAGGGCACGTGGAGCTGAGGACTGGCAGGGCACGTGGAGCAGAGGACTGGCAGGGCACGTGGAGCTGAGGACTGGCAGGGCACGTGGAGCTGAGGACTGGCAGGGCACGTGGAGCTGAGGACTGGCAGGGCACATGGAGCTGAGGACTGGCAGGACGTGTGGAACTGCGAGGACTGGCAGGGCGTGTTGGGGAGCCGATGGCAGCAGTATTAGAAAATGCAGGTGATCAATCGACGGGCTTCGGGAGTTTTCTGACTCGGTCGACGGAACAGGGCAGTGTCGGGTCATTCATTTATTGTCACAGTGTGTCAGGGGCAGGACAGTGACGGGGTCCGATAGCCCTGGGACAGGTTCAGGGGCATCAGTTGCGAGAAAGGCCCCAGGACTGGCGCGTGGTTTTGCAGTAGCGGCGCGCCGCCATTTTGGACGTTAGTTTAGCGGGGGCCCGGCAGAGGCGCTGCGTCGTCGGGTCAACGACCTCCAGAAGCGTAGTTCGGCAGCTCGCCGACAGAGGCGCTGTGATAGCCAGCGGTGGCGTGACTCGTGAGTCAGCACGACATCAGGTGATCGGCCGGAGAGGAGTCGAGCCGGCCGGCTGGGCGGCCGGACGCGAGCCAGCTGATCGGAGCGTGGGAAACGACTGGGCGCCGTGCGCGAGACAGAACAGCTGATCGGACCGTGGGAAAACAGCTGAGATCAGTGTGCCGGATCGAACAGCTGATCGGGACGTGGTAAAGCTGAAGGGATGGCGCTGCCGGGAATGCATCTGCCCACGGTGGCACCCTACCATACAGGGGAGGACTTTGAAAGGTGGGTGAGAAGCATAGAGCGGTATTTAGTGGCCGTGAACATAACTGATACCAATCAGAAATGTGCAGTGCTTCTCCATCTGGTTGGGCCGGACGTCGCAGATCTCAGCGAGACGCTGCCGGATGAAGACGCGACGGGAGATAACTTTGAAAAACTTAAGAAGAAGGTCACGGCGTACCTGTCGCCGGTCAAAAGTGCTGTGACTGAGCGGGCTGCATACCATCTAATGAAAATGCAAGCGGGTGAAGAATTCGAACAGTCCCTGGGGCGACTCCGGATCCAAGCACAGAAATGCGGCTATGCAGCGGCTGAGATGGACAGGGAATTCTGGGACCGGTGTGTCGTCAGAAGCAGCCCCGGGCTGAGAGAAAAGCTACTGCAGGAGGCGGCGACCAAAGGAGACGGGCTGACGCTCGCGAACGTCCGGCAGACAGCGCGGGAGTACCGAGACATGCGTCAGCTGAGCGCCCATCTGAAAGAGAGTCAGCCGGCAGTCACAGGAGTCGACTGTGGGGGGACGGCCGTGAACGCAGTGCGGCCGGACCGACCACAACGGCCACAGCGAGGCCAGTGTTTCCGATGCGGATCCAGACAGCATTGGAAGGGGGACTGCGCGGTCGGGGTGCAGGAGCGTGGCGCTGCCGACCGGCCATCGTCCGGGGACAATGAACGGCGTGAGGAGCGGCGGCAGCAGGGACAGACCCGCCGTCCCCCGCCCGTCCGACGCTGTTTCCGGTGTGGGTCGGACGCCCACCTACTGCGCAGCTGTCCACAGCGCCGCACAGTGGACCATGTGACTGAGACTGAAGGAGGTGTGCCACAGCGCCTCGAGGACATTCTCCTGCAAATCGACATCCCGAGCGAGAGGCATGGCCTGCCACTCATCACAGTGAGGATCAACGGTCAGGACATCACGATGATGATCGACACCGGCTCGCAGGTGACAATCGTCGGCAGAGATGTCAAGATCCCGGGACTGCGCATGCGGGCATCGGAGCTACGTCTGCAGTCCTACACCGGTCAGACGGTGCCCCTCCGCGGAGAGGCAACGGTGGAGGTGGAACACGCAGGCCAGGCCCGGTCACTGCGACTGGTGATATGTGACCGACAGGGGAGCGCGCCGCTGCTGGGACGAGACTGGCTGCACCAGCTCTGACTGAACTGGCGAGCAGTTAGCATCGTCGGCCGGCCGGGAGACGCTGACGGGAGAACCACGCCGGAGTCGGGCGCGAAGACGACGCTGGAGTCGGTCGTCAAGTCGCACGAGACAGTGTTCACCGACGGACTGGGGAAGATGTCGATGAGGGCCCATCTCACGCTGAAGCCTGACGAGCGTCCGGTGTATAGGAAGGCCAGGCCTGTGCCGCGCGCCCTCATGCCTCTAACTGACAAGGAATTAGAGCGCTGTATCACGGAGGGAGTCGCAGAGAAGGTTGACCCAGAACAGAGGCCGTCAGGCTGGGGGACCCCGCTGGTCCCAGTGCTGAAGCCCAACGGTCATTTCAGGCTGTGCGCAAACTACAGCTTGACAGTGAATCCACAGCTCCGGGTGGATCCGTACCCACTGCCTGCGCCAGAGGACCTATTCGCGGACATACGTGGTCGAGTGTTCGCAAAGCTGGACATCCGGCGGGCATACGAGCACATGGAGCTGGACGAGACGTCACAGGACCTCACCACGGTGACGACGCACCACGGCTCGTTCCGGATGATCCGTATGCCGTATGGCATCGCCAGCTGCGGCTTCCTGTTCCAGCAGGCAATGGACGAGGTGCTGGAGGGACTGCCGGGCTGCGTGTGCTACATTGATGACGTTCTCATCGCAGCGGAAGACGAGGCAGAGCTGGTGACACGGCTGGACCGGGTCCTGACTCGGCTGGAGCGTCACGGCCTCCGGCTAGAACGCTCAAAATGCACTCTCGGGGCGAGCGACGTGTCTTACCTGGGATGGCAGATCATCGCGGACAGCATCAAGCCGGAGGAAGACGGGACAGCCGCGCTGCTGGAGGCGCCAGAACCACGTGACGCTCACCAGCTCAGATCCCTGTTGGGATCG